TTTTTTTTTTAAGATTTTTTTTTTTAAAGATTTTATTTATTTATTTGACAGAGAGAGAGACAGCGAGAGAGGGAACAGAGGAGGGGGAGCGGGAGAGGGAGAAGCAGGCTTCCCGCTGAGCAGGGAGCCCGATGTGGGGCTCGATCTCAGGACCCCGGGATCATGACCTGAGCTGAAGGCGGACGCTTGACTGACTGAGCCACCCAGGTGCCCTGATCAGAGTGTTTTCTTCAGGAAGATTACCTTACAAAATATGCAGGGAGAGAAACAGGAATCTGTGAGAACAGCTAGCTCCTATTTAAAATATATGGGACCAATAATTGATTATAAGCATTTTTATTGTCTCAAGGAAAGAGGTTCTACGCAGTCTAATTCAAAAACTCCCTCTCAACAAAGATAATTTGTAGGAAAAAGGGATGGTTGGATAATCATTGCTTGACTGGATTTTTTTTTTTTTAAGATTTTATTTATTTACTTGACAGCGAGAGAGGGAACACAAGCAGAGGAAGCGGGAGCGGGAGAAGTAGGCTTCCTGCCAAACTGGGAGCCCAATGCGGGGCTTGATCCGAGGATCCCAGGATCATGACCTGAGCCGAAGGCAGACGCTTAATGACTGAGCCACCCAGGCACCTTTGCTTGACTGGATTTTTAAAAAGTGACTGGTTACAGATTATTAGACTAGTTAAAGGTCACCGGGCTCTTCCTAAAACTGCTATCTTTCTGGTTCCCAGAGGGGATCTTAAGTTCATTGAGTAAAGTTTATCATTCATTTTAACAGAAATGTTCATTTCTCCCAGGAAAGAGTAACTAATGAAAACAGATCACAGAGTTCTCCCCTAACTAAGGTTTTGGACCATTTTTTCTTGCTCATCCCCACAGTGAGAGAAACAGCAGGAATCTTTTTTTTTTTTTTTTTTTACTCTCCTCCTGTTCTGTCTGGGTGTCATGCCCTACTCTTTCCTGACTATGTGGTCTCTATTCATTCAAGAAATTGCATACGCCTGGGCGCCTCAGTTGGTTGGGCGACTGCCTTTGGCTCCGGTCATGATCCTGGAGTCCTGGGATTGAGCCCCGCATTGGACTCCCCACTCGGCGCGGAGTCTGCTTCTCCCTCTGACCCTCCCCCCTCTCATGCTCTGTCTCATTATTTCTCTCTCAAGTGAATAAATAAAATCTAAAAAAAAAAAAAAGAAATTGCATATGCCTATTCTGTGCCAGATAGGCCTTGTTGGGCCAGTGTTGGGAGTACGGTGATCCGTGTAGATAGGCAGTCTTGTCCTCACAGGGTTTAGTGAGCAGTTGGAGAGACTGTGTGGATATGTCTGAGTATTATACACAAATAAAGTTAAGGGGCACCTGGATGGCGCACGCAGTCAGCTGAGCATCAGACTCTTGGTTTCAGCTCAGGTCAAGATCTCAGGGTCGGGGAGCCTGCTTCTCCCTCTGCCTCTGTCCCTCCCCCTGCTCATACTGTCTCTCTGTCTCTCTCAAATAAATAAATAGAATCTTAAAAAAAAAGACTCTCTCTACCTCTCCCTCTGCCCCCCGCCCCACGCACTCTCTCAACTAAATCAATCTTAAAAAAAATTAAATTGTTAACTAATTTGGAGCTGTGCTTTGAAGCAAAGGAACAAGATAAGTGCAGTCTCAAGGGAGCTCTGTCTCAGACTTTGAAATCAGAGGAGCTACCTATGAAAAAATGACACTTGCATTCACCAGGACAGGGATGGGGACTGAGCCTTTTCAAGGTCCTTAGGCAGAAGAGATCTCAACCCTATGGAGGGTGGCTAAGGGCCAGAGTGTAGGAGGTAATGTGAGATGAAGGTGGAATCTGGCCTTGCTACTTCCTGCTACCTGGTAAGATTTTGATCTTCATTCTAAGAGAAAGGGGAACCACTGAAACGTGTTTTTTTTTTGTTGTTTTTTTTTTTAAGATTTTATTTATTTATTTGACACACAGAGAGAAAGCACAAGTGGGCAGAGAGACAGGCAGAGAGAGAGGCAGAAGCAGGCTCTCCACTGAGCAGGGAGCCCGACGCGGGACTCGATCCCGGGACTCCAGGATCATGACCTGAGCCGAAGGCAGTCGCTTAACCAACTGAGCCACCCAGGCGCCCCGACCACTGAAACGTTTTAATCGAGGGAGTGAATATGAGAAGGATGGAAAAAAATCACTCTAGCTACTCTTATGTATAGGCAGAGTAGAAAAAGAAAGACCAGAAGCCCCTGTGGTCAAGGCAAGAGAAGACAGTAGCTCGGACTGGGGAGGTGGCAGGACAAAATTGGCCAAATAGACAGAAGTAGGAAGTAAAATCTACCAATATGCATTTGGAGCTCCAAGTTTTCCTTGTACTTACAGTGGTCTTTGATAGGCCAGAAATTTTGTACAAGCTTAGCTACACCTCTGTGACTGTTTTCCAAAATATGCTGTAGTAATTAACGTTATTTACCTTACTAGACAGTCCACTCTTTGAGGAGGGGGTTGCCACAGGGTAGAACTTTTCTCCCATACAATATTGACCTGAAAGCTATGCATTTTGGGGGTGCTCAATATGTACATGTTTAATTGTAAAGACTACAGAAGATCTTCCTGTATAATTCCTTCTTTCTTAGTGCTATACTACAATTATTCAACTAGAATTATTCATATAATTATATGTTTAAGACATCTCTCTCTAAACTGTAAATCCCCTAAGGACAAAGACAAAGGAGAGGGACCAAATCTGTTTTGGTTATTGCTTTATTCCATTGCTCAGCACTGTGTCCGGTGCTCAATAAATACTTGTCAAAGAATCATTTTGCTGTTAATGTATGCAATATTTATAGTGTGCCAGTGAATGTTCTTAGCACCTTAAACACACTTAACACATTTAATCCTTATACCAACTCCATTAGGGATATATTATTGGTGTTCCCATTTTTACAAATGAGGAAACCAAGGCAGGAAGATTAACTTAGGGAGTCCATCTTATCAAACACTGATGTACATTTGGGCACTGGGGTGACTCAGTCGGTTGGCCACTGACTCTTGGTTTGGGTTGGGTCCTGATCTCCAGTAGTGAGATCCAGCCCCCTGTGGTTAGAGCAGAGTCTGCTTGAGACTCTCCCTCTCCCTCTGCCCCTTCCCCCCCCCCAAAAAATAGATGTACATTCATTCTAAAATATTAACTGGGTTTTTGACTATGACAGGAGCTGTGCTAGGCCCTAGGGACACAAAAAAATCGTGATTAATAATTTTGAGCACCTACAAATTAAATATGTTAGGTTTGGTGTTAGGCACTTCACACAATTTTGGGTAAGCCTCACAATAACCTTGCAAGTTAGGTACCCTTAATCGCATTTGCTTATTGTGGAAATAAACGTTTGGCAAGGCTCAGTAACAATAAACGTCACTAGCTGGTGAGAAGCGCACTCGGTGCCGCTGGTGGGAGTCAGCAGTCCCATCAAAGTCCTGCCTCCCACTTCCCGGGGGAAAAAACACAGGACTCCGCCCCTCGTCCAGGTCTGGCCCCGCCCACTCTCATGACGCCTGCGCACTCCCCGCGCCAGCCCTCTCTTCCCCGCCGACACGCGGCACGCCTGCGCACTTCTTTCCCATGTGGGCTCCGGCCGTCAGCAGGCCCGCCTGAGCAGTGACACCGAGACCCCCTCGGTAACAGGACCTTGCCCCTAGCTCAGCAGCCTCCACCGTCCTGCTGTTGCCCTTCTCTCTCGGACTTTCCCCGCAGCGCATATCTTCATGGGCAAGAGCCGGACCAAGCGCTTCAAGCGACCTCAGTTCTCCCCTACGGGCGACTGTCAGGCCGAAGCGGCAGGGGCGGCGAACGGGACGGAGGGAGAGGAGGATGACGGGCCGGCGGCGGAGCTGCTGGAAAAGGTGAGGCGGGGGCTTGCAGGGGCCGCGAGGGGCGGGGCTCGCGGGGAGCCCCGTGGCAGCGCGGTGCGCCCCTGCCGCGGCCCCCGCGCCTGCGCTCTGCGCCGCCTCTGACACTTGGTCCCCTCCCGCAGCTCCAGCACCCGAGCGCCGAGGTCCGCGAGTGCGCCTGCGCGGGGCTGGCCCGGCTGGTGCAGCAGCGGCCGGCGTTGCCCGGCCTGGCGCGTCGGGACGCCGTGCGCCGCCTCGGGCCGCTGCTGCTGGACCCCAGCCTGGCGGTGAGGGAGACGGCGGCCGGCGCGCTGAGGTGAGCCGGGAGGGGGGGTCGCGGCGGCCAGCCGGCGCGCCCGTGCGTGCCATGCCCCGTCGCCTGTCACGGTGCACTTGCCTGCGGCAGCTCGGGAGACCCAGACCGCCCAGGGTCTCCCATTTGCACAGGGGGGATTTGAACTCAGCCTGCAGACTCCAGAGGAACCCACGCCGCCCGGGGGCCACACGCATTCCGTCTGTCCAGCGGGCTGCTTCAGCTGCAGCAGCCGGCAGGGATCCTCCCCGCAAGGCCTAACATCCTTTACGGTCTCTCCAAGAACCCTCCAAAGTCCCGAGGTCCTGTGGGCTCTTCCAGTGTGTGTGGCAGGCGTTCTGGGTGCAGGGGGTTTGAACAGGCAGAGCGCTGAGCAAGAGCGCCGAGATGCCTGCCTTCACAGAACCCATGTTGAGGAGACAGGAGGCCAGGAAACTGGTAAAACAGGTAATAGGAGGTAGTGAGAAGGGCGATGGAGAATACCAAGAGGATGATGAGCCGGAGGTGGGAAGTTACTTTAAATTCCGATCTGTAGATGACACTTGACCTGATGCCTCAGAGCCAGACATGAAAATCCAGGGGAAAAGCATTCCCGGCAGAGGGAACAGCAAAGAAGTGAGGCAGCAAAGGGCTTGACATGGTTAAAGAACAGAAAGTTTGGGACACCTGCGTGGCTCATTTGTTTGAGCGTCTGCCTTCAGCTCAGGTAATGATCTCAGGGTCCTGGGATCGAGTCCGGCATCGGGCTCCTTGCTCAGCGGGGATCCTGCTTCTCCCTTTGCTTACTGCTCCCCCTCCTTGTGCTCGCTCGCTCTTCCTCTCTCTCTCTCTGACAAATATATAAGCTCTTAAAAAAGAAAAAGAAACATAAGGGTTAGTGTGGCTGAACATAGTAGAGGGTGGGTATCATAGGAGATGAGGTTGGAGTGATGTCCTCGATAGTGTAGGGCTGAAGGACCTATTGTGAGCAGGAGTGGCCTGATGTAATTTACCTTTTGAAAAGGCTCCTCTGATGGCTGTACAGAGAATGGACTGTAGAGGGGGCAAGAGTAGAAGTTAATGGTTGCAGTTCTTGCAACTGTGTTACATTACGCTTGATTCATTGATTTAGCAAGTGTATTTTGTGTGCCTTCTGTGCACTAGGCAATGGGCTGGATAGGCTGTGGGCATGTGTTAGTGAACAAGACAGACATAATTTCTGTCCTTCATGGATCTTACAGTATTGAGGGAGACGGGCATTAACCAAAATAATCACACAATTGTATAATTACAACCAGTGATAATTACAGAGGGTGCTATGAGAGGATATAACTGGGGGCTCAGGGAAGAAAACCCTAAGGGAGGGATGGGGATTAGCCACATGCTGGAGGAAATTGCATGTAGGAAGGCCTACCCTTTCCCTGAGGCTTACATATCCTGGGAGCTCCTGGAAGGTTGTGGGGACATCTTCCAATTCATCTCCATATACTCAGTGCCTGGTACAGTGCTGTGCACTTAGAAGGCAAGCAAGCAGTGTCTTCCCAATTAAAATTCAGTTTCGCCAGAGTTCCTTCGGCCTCGCTGTCATTCAGCCTCACCTTTGCTGCCCTTGAAGTCTTGATCCCAAGAAAATGTCCCTTCATATCAGATCATGCTGTGATTTGTTCATTAAGTAGGAAAAGTCTTCTCCCCTCTCCCTTCCCTGTTGTCATGCACCTGTGTATTGTCTCAGACTTCAAAATTAAGTTGTTACGTGGAACCAGGATCAGAACAGATCTGATGGAAATCTGTGGATTGGTTCTGTAGCATCTTGCAGAAATCATAAGCAGTTTCATCTGGAAAACAAGTATGGGGAGAGATTAAATTTGACAGCTTAAAAGTGTTTTGTGACATGTGCTCTGAGAAAGTAAAACATTTTAAACTTTTTGTGTAGAAACCTCAGTGCTTGTGGAGGTTTTGAAGTTTGTGATGACATGGTGACTAAGGATATCATGACCCCTCTGGTTGCACTGCTGAAAGAGGTATGTGGTTTTTAAAGTAGCTTCATGGTACTTTTTAACTGTAGCTTTTTGTATGCACCCTTAGTTTTTGTTTTTGTTTTTTTTTTTTTAGCTCTTTGGTATTATTTTGTCTTCCCTCAGAACATTCTATGGGAATTTTGTTTTTTTTCCTAGAAACATTGATTTCTCATCATTCATACAAATCTCTGTTATTTTGTCCCTACTATCTTTACTTATATGCTAGTTGGAAAAGACCTTCCTAAAACTATAGACTGATTCCTTTAGACCTTAAATTTTGTAAATAAAAATAATTAGTCTTTATGGATTACTTGTTTTTGTGTCAGTGGTGTTTTATGTATTATTTAATCCTTGCATCAGTCCTATTTGGAAGGTGGTATTCCTGTTTTGCAGATGAGAAAGCTGAGGCATAATTTGCCATGAAGATTACATTACGTTTTCAAATTTAGTATCATGCCAACCTTACTGCATGATGGCGCATATGCATCAGGGTGCCTGGGTGACTCAGTCAGTTAAGTGACCGATTCTTTTTTTTTTTTTCTTTCTTCCGATTTTATTTATTTGACAGAGAGAGACACAGCGAGAGAGGGAACACAAGCAGGGGGAGTGGGAGAGGGAGAAGCAGGCCTCCTGCTGAGCAGGGAGCCCGATGCAGGGCTCAATCCCAGGACCCTGGGATCATGACCTGAGCTGAAGGCAGACGCTTAACGACTGAGCCACCCAGGCGCCCCTAAGTGACCGATTCTTGATCTCCGCTCAGGTCTTGATCTCAGGGTCGTAAGTTCAAGCCCCACGTTGGGCTCCACGCTGGGCTGTGCGCCTGGCGTGGAGCCTACTTAAAAAAAAAAACAAAAACAGCAGCTAAGGTGCTGTTAGTCCACTATTCTGTATTGATGGGTAATTTTTTTTTTAAGATTTTATTTATTTATTTGACAGCGGAGAGCATAAGGAGGGGGAGCAGCAGAGGGAGAGGGAGAAGCAGGCTCCCCGCTGATCAGGGAAACCAATGTGGGGCTCTGATCCCAGCTCATGGGATCATGACCTGAGCCGAAGGCAGACACCCAACCGAGCCTCCCAGGCGTCCCTTGATGGATAATTTTTACTTAAGTCTTTATAAAGAATATCCAGTTTTGCTGAGAGGCATCAGTCTTACTCTGTTTAGAGTCTGGTTCTGAACTGGTGGTGATTTTGCCCCACAGGGGACGTTTGGCAATGTCTGGAGACATTTTTGATTTGAGGGTAGCTGTTGCTACTGGCAAATGCAGTGGGTAGAAGGCCAGGATGCTGCCACACATCCTCCAATGCACATGTCAGCCCCCACAGCAAAGAATCATTCAGTCCAAAGTGTCGGTGGTGCTGAGATTGAGAAGCCCCGCTTCAGAGGCTGCCGTGGATTATGCTAGAGGGGCAGGACCGCAGTGGTACCGGGCACCAGCTTTACAGCCGGAATACCTGGGTCTGAATCCTAGCTCTGCCGTGTACTAAGCTACACCTTCAGCAATCTCCCTGTACCTCAGTTTCCTATTTGTAGTGGATGACTGGGGAGAATAGTTCATCTGCTTCACAGGTGCGTGGTCAGGATTAAATGACTTAATGGAAAGTGCTTAGAGTGGTGCCTTTCTGTGCCCGATTTACTATCTTTATTGTATTAGATGAAATACTTTGTATTGATTTTACATTTTAAAACGTTAAATGCTTTGTGTCCAGTTTGTACAATGACTTGTGAACTTTTTTTGTCTATATTTCTTGCCAGAAGGGAGCAGGATTGTCGGAAGGGTACTGCTTGTGAGAATTTGATGAGCTCGTTAACCACTATAATTTCTGATGTTTAGTTTTTGTGATTCTTCACTACCATTAGCGTTTTTGTTTAATTATTCTTTTGAACCAGGGTACTAATCATGATATTTGGTTACAGTGTAGTGCTGGCCTGGATTCAAATGAGATGTCTCCACAGGAAAAAAAAGATCAGAACAGAAATTCTATTGAGAACATAGCCAATGAGGCCATGAATGTGCTGTGGAATATATGGTAAGAAACTTTCCAAACAGCCTCCTGCTACAGCATCGCTCAGGCTTTTTCTGTCAGACTGTAGTGTCTGTTCTCCTTGGTGGGGCTATAAATCCCTGATGTTAATGCTTGGTAGGAGGTAGTCTCAAGTGACCTAAAATCAACCTTCCTTCCTAAGCCCTTTTCCTCATAGCATCACTACCGCTTTGTTTGCTTTATAACTCTTCTCTCCCATCATTGCTGCTGACAGAAATAAGAGGAATCGTGGCCATTACCACCTGCTGCACCCCAGTTCTTCCCCAGTGCCTGCGCAACCTTAAGCAGTCACTGTGTTAAAGCTGGTCAGGCCTCCGAGCAGTAGCTGCTTTGGTCTGGCACCTGGAATGAGATGCGGGCCACAGCCCTCGGCTGGTGCTTTACTCCTCTACCCTGGCACTTGCCATTTGACAGGGAAGAGATGCCTAAGAAGAGTTCCCTCGGCCCTGGTAGGAAGAAGGCCACACTCTCCATGATTGTGACGGTGGTAGGCTGGAGTGGACTTGCAGCTAGGAATGGAAATGGCTAGAAACACTACCTGGATTTAGTTTTTCCTACCCTATTGTATGTCCCACCTTTCTAGCAGAATTCTGCCACAGTTCCTTATTTTCTAGTCAGCAGTAACAATAACTTCTGACCTAAAAGCACAGGTATATCTTAGAACACAGGACCAAGTTGGATCCTGAAAAGCTGCCTACATAGCAGTCTGAACTTGCCTGTGATATCATTTCAAACTAGTGGGTGCATTCCACCAGAAAAAGTGGAGAGATCAGGTCTGAGGAAATGACACTTGAGCAAGCCGGTGGGTACATTTTCCTGTGCACCAGATAACTTTAATTTACTTAATTGTTGGACTTAGAAGTTTTAAAAATTTTTCTTTGAAAAGAGCCTGAAAAAGTACTCTCCACACACTCTTTCCTGAATGCCTGTGAGCCCTATCTATATCACTTCCAGTTGTCCTAGCTCTTCACGTTTTTGTTTTATACTTCATATTTTAAGTCATATATATTTAAGTTGCATACACATGTATATATTTGCAATTACTTTAACCCATGTATGCCTTATCTTCCTGACTATACCTGACTTTACTGTGGGCATCTTGAGGGTAGGTTCATAGCAGTGTTGTAGTAACTAGTTAGGTAGATAGGCAGGCAGAGAATAGTTTATCTTTAGATAACAGGATTGAATTTCATAATTTAGTCAGCTCTGTTTAATAATCTGGTCAGCTCTATTAGTATGTCATGTATATGTGATATGTACGGAGGATTACTTTTCTCTGGAAACATGGATCAGATTATTAAAATCAGTTCTGTTTACCCTGTATTTAGTATGTATATTAACATTCTTAACATTAATTCTGACTTTTTTATTAAAAGGTAGTGTAGTTTGTTTTGTTTTGTTTTTTTAAAAGATTTTATTTATTTGACAGAGAGAGAGAGACAGCTAGAGAGGGAACACAAGCAGGGGGAGTAGGAGAGGGAGAAGCAGGCTCCCGGCTGAGCAAGGAGCCCGATGCGGGGGCTCGATCCCAGGACCCCAGGATCATGACCTGAGCCGAAGGCAGATGCTTAACGACTGAGCCACCCAGGCACCCCAAGGTAGTGTAGTTTCAAATGTATCTAGTAATTTCTCTTTTGTAGACTGCAAATTCTGCTTGTTGAAATTATAATAGCAGTCTAGAGGGAATAAATAAAATCCGTTTTATTTTCTTTTAAATTAGTGCTTTTTGTGTAAGTGTAGAGGCCTTTTATCCTCACTTTAACTTACTGTTATGTAGTGGAAGGAACCATAGGCTGGACCCAAGGAACCACCACTAACGAAATGTGCGATCTTTGGGTAGATCACTTCACCTTTTGGGGCTTGGGTGTCCTTATGTATGAGACGAGGAATAGAAGTTAAATGATTTCTAAGCCCTCTCCCAGCTCCAGCCTCGTATAAGGAAACTGGCATGCAGGTAAAGAGATCGGCTAAAATGTTCTACTGTGATAGAAATAAAAATACAGATAGCCAGTTTTGTCTGTGTACAGTAAATAAGAATGGGCATTGGTTTCTTCATCTATAAAAATGGTGGGTGTTTGACTCCAATTCTTGTTTTTGTTTTGTTTTTTTTCTTTTATAAAGCCTAATTTATCTTTTCATGAATTTCTGTGGTTGATTTCTTAATGTTAAAATGTGAATAGTAAAACTTCTTTTTCCTCCTTCAATTTAGTGAATGCAGTGGTAGAGCAGTATCTATATTCAACAAAGAAGGGTGTTTGGAGATTGTATTAAAGTATTTAAGTAGGTTTCCCACCAATGTTGACCTGGCTATTTCAGTAGGTAAGTGAAGAAAAAGTGATGATTTATTAAGTATGTGTGGCCTTATTCAAAAATTTTTGTTCCAACATAGCATGTTTGTTCTATAGGAGTGATTTCTTTTTTCTCATTTTATATATAAATGTGTAACTGAGTTCTGTTTGTTCTGAATCTTTTAAAATCTATGATTAATACTTTACTTACTCATACAATTTTCCTGCTCTTCACTCTGAAAGGGAGGAAGGTAATTATGTGAGCAGTCTATTATCATTCTTAGAACACTTTATTAATTCTTGAAGCTTTCATCTCCCATTTACTGAGAAACAGTAACCCACAACTACCAGGCCTCTGAGCCAAAGTTAATTGGAATCTAGACTTATTTAAATGTCTTGTACCACTATCTCATACTCCCAGCAGAAAACTGATAACTTGTGCTTTTCTTGAGAGAGGAAAATAAGTGATTGAAATTTCATGTAGGCCTGCTTCCCTTCTGTGGGAAAGGGCAAGCAGAGCTCAGCAGCTTCAGCTGCCTTGACTCCCTCGTGTTCTCGCTGTGCGGTTAGAGAGCCGTAGTGGGGAGCCCTTGTCCATTTGGAGAGACAGACTGGAGGATGGGTGGCCCAGCAGAACTCTGGGGAGAGTGGAGAAATAATTGATGAAAAGCATTTCTTTTCTACCCATTATAATGGCCAGGCATCCAACTGTCCTTTTATTTAATTATGCATTTCTCCTGGCATGGACTGAGTGTGTTCCCCTTACTGATGCTTCTTTTGGCTCTAATGGATACTTTCAAGAGAATAGGAGAAAACAGTGGAATAAATACTACTGGGAAAAATTAAAAAATCAGTTTCTCAAAATGGAATCTTTGGCAGAAGGGTGATTTATGAGTAAATGTGGATTTTAAAAATGGTTGAACTAGGAAATTGGTAGGTGGCTTTTAATCTCAGAGGACAGTTTTTCTCACAATTAGGGAAATTCACAAAAGTTAGTTAATAGCTTTTAAAAGAAAAACTTCACTTCTATTTTGTGTCTTTAGTCTTGTAGGTTTAGTTGTTTTTAATTTTTGTCCTGTAATAAACTGTAAAAAAAATGGGTCTGAGGGCGCCTGGGTGGCTCAGTCGTTAAGCATCTGCCTTCGGCTCAGGTCATGATCCCAGAGTCCGGGGATCGAGTCCCACATCGGGCTCCCTGCTCAGCAGGAAGCCTGCTTCTCCCTCTCCTACTCCCCCTGCTTGTGTTCCCTCTCTCTCTGTAGAATAAATAAATAAAATCTTAAAAAAAAAAAATGGGTCAGAATAAAGTAATTTTGCATTGTATAATAATGTTTTCTTTTTGCATTTAGCTAGATTCGTGATTTTTTAAACAAATGTCCAATTACTTTGGTTTGAAAATCAAGCAAGGTTTACATACAGTAAAGTGAACTTTCTGAGATTCCATCCTATATATTAATATGGCTTTCTTTGCTCTTGTATTGACTTTATGGTAGCAACCTCAGTTTCTCTTGGCTTTTTGCTAAAGTGAATTTAATTAGTCTCTTAATGAAAAAGAATTACATTTGGATATATGCGTATATGTGGATTTGTATACACATGTATTTGGGGAACCAAACTAGATCCCAGCAGTAGCATATATTTTGACTAATTTGGATGATCATGATTGACTGAAATTTTGAGACCTGGAAAGAAATGGATTTGTTTGGAATACACTAAGAAAAACACATTTGGGCTTGCTTCCTCTTTTGTGCTTCAGAGGTTCTTCTGTCAAACCTGTCAGGCAATCCCAGTTGTTTTGATACTTTCAGTTAATTATTTCTGATTTGCGAGTTGTAATCCATTGTCTTGTTTAACTCAAGGGAGGAGTTAAGCACTAAAGGGATCATATGTCTTTTAATATCATAGCCATCTCTTAATTTACTCATTTTTATGTAAAATACTTTTTTCTTTTTTTTTTTTTTTAGATTTTTATTTATTTATTTGACACAGAGAGAGAGACACAGCTAGAGAGAGAACACAAGCAGGGGGAGTGGGAGAGGGAGAAGCAGGCTCCTGGCCAAGCAGGGAGCCTGATGTGAGGCTTGATCCTAGGACCCTGGGATCATGACCTGAGCCAAAGGCAGATGCTTAACGACTGAGCCACCCAAGCGCCGCCTCCCCTTTTTTTTCTTAAGAAATACTGTTTTACCAGAAATAGCCCTAACTTTTAAGGTCATGCTGAATTTAAAGGAAGCCAGAATGTCCCCAAGTCCAGGGCTTGTTCTCGATAACGGAACTGCTAAAAGCGTTGTCTCTCCCGTAGACTGTTTGCCACTGGTCCCCGACGTGTGCAGAAATTGAGGAGAAACCTTAATAAATGTTCATAGTAATTTCACATTGTCACACCATTTAAGAGCCTTTTAAATTGTATTTTGTAAAAGTTTATTTTGTAAAGAATTAGAAATTAAAAAGAAAAAAAAAATCTTTCATTGCACTGACAATTTGAGAAGCCCCGTTTGCACGTACCATCCTTTAAGTAAAGCATACTTACTTTACAAAAGCTGTCTGTGTCTGAAGGAGTTGTAAAGATGCAAATGTTTAGATGGAACTAGAGAGTGTAATGCTAAGTGAAATAAGTCAGAGGAAGACAGCTACCATATGATTTCACTCATATGTGGAATTTAAGAAACAAAAAGGATGAACATAGAGGAAGGGAAGGAAAAATAAAATAAGATAAAAACAGAGAGGGTAGCATACCATAAGAGACTGTTTACTATAAGGAACAAACTGAGGGTTGCTGGAGGGGAGGCGGGTGGGGGGATGGGGTGACTGGGTGATGGGCATTAAGGTGAGCACTTAATGGAATAAGCACTGGGTTGCAACTGATGAATCACTAAACTCTGCCTCTGAAACTAATAATACAGTATATGTTAACTAAATTGAATTTAAATACAAAATAAAAAAAGATGCAAATGTTTTCTGATGAATTAAATTGGTATAAATTATCCTAGCAGAATTCATTTGTGTTTTAATACTTAATTTTTATCTTTATAGCATATTGTTTGCAGACAGTGACCGAAGATAACCCAGAGCTGCTGAAATCTTTCAGTGCCCCAGCATTGCATGTACTGGAATCAGCAATGCTTTCTCCTGTCAGTTCCATGGAGTACATTCTATTAAAGACATTGGTGGCAGGTAAAATTTAGCCATAGGCGGCAGTGTGCTTTTTTTTTTTTTTTTTTAATGTTTCATTTATTTATTCATGAGAGTCAGAGGGAGGGAGAGAGAGAGAGAGAGGCAGAGGCAGAGGCAGAGGGAGGAGCAGGCTTCCCGCTGAGCAGGGAGCCCGATGTGGGACTCGATCCCAGGACCCTAGGATCCTGACCTGAGCCGAAGGCAGATGCTTAACATCTGAGCCATCCAGACGCCCCAGCAGTGTGCTTTTTTAGTAATTTGTAATGGGTAGAGATGGAGGCCAAAATTCAGTCACTCGTTCATTTTCACCACATAATGACCTTCTGTGCTTATGTCTGTTCTGAAAATTGTAATATTTAAGTGGAGATCCTTAATTCAAGAGGTTATGCATAGTTGTGGAGCCTTCTAGAATAGGTTTCTTTTCAATTTAACAAGCTACTGTCTTTGTATAAAGAAATGCTGGGCGCCTGGGTGGCTCAGTTGGTTAAGCGACTGCCTTCGGCTCAGGTCATGATCCTGGAGTCCCGGGATCGAGTCCCGCATCGGGCTCCCTGCTCGGCAGGGAGTCTGCTTCTCCCTCTGACCCTAACCCCTCTCATGTGCTCTCTCTCTCAGTCTCTCCCTCTCAAATAAATAAATAAAATCTTTAAAAAAAATAAATAAATAAAAATAAATAAATAAAAAAAAAAGAAGTGCTATTGTCAGGATCCTTTCTTGTTATGAACCAGTGAGTTCAGAAATGGGCATGACGTGACCACTCTCTTTTCTGTAAATTCTTTACCCCCAGCTCCTTTCTCCTTGGGATTTCTAAATGTAGAGGTAAAAAATAATCTGGTGATCTGTTGAGTAATGGGTAATTTATATATTTTCTGTATATATCTTCTTCCTGCTCTTCCAGAGGTAATTTATCATGAGAGGTGTTGTTTTTTAGTAGTGAAGTACATGTAACATAGAGTTTACCGTCTTGACCATTCTTGAGTGTATAGTTCAGTAATATTAGGTACATTCACATTGTTGTGCAACCAATCTCCAGGACTCTTCATCTTGCAAAAGTGAAACTGCACACATTGAACAACTCCCCATTTTCCCATCCTCCCACCCCCAGCAGCCACCATCCTACTTTCTGTCTCTATGAACTTGACTATTTTAGGTGCCTCATCTAAGTGGAATTATACAGTGTTTTTCTTTTTCTGATTGGCTAATTTCATTTATTTTATTATTTTTAAATCTTTTTTTTTTTTTTTTTAAGTAAGCTCTACACCCAATGTGGGGCTCAAACTCATGACCCCAAGATCAAGAGTTGCATGCTGTACGAACTATGACTAATTCATTTAGTATAATGTCCTCAGAGTTCGTCCTTGTAGTGTGTCAGAATTTCCTCCCTTTTTAAGGCTGAATAATATTCCACTATGTGTATATATTTGACCACTCATCAGCAGATGGGCACTCGGGTCAGTGGCTATTGAGTAATGCTGCTGTGAATATGGGTGGACACATATCTGTTTGAGTCCCTGCTTTCAATTCTTTTGGGTCCATATCCAGGATGTATTTTTATTTTAACAGTGACTTGTTTTGTTTTGTTTTGTTTTTTTCAATTAGTTTGTCTGCCTACTTAATGGTAGCTCCTGTTCTGTTTTTGTTTTTTTTTTTTAAGATTTTATTTATTTATTTGAGAGAGAGAAAGAGAGAGAGCATGAGAGGGGGAGGGTCAGAGGGAGAAGCAGACCCCCTGCTGAGCAGAGAGCCCGATGTGGGACTCGATCTCGGGACTCCAGGATCATGACCTGAGCCGAAGGCAGTCGCTTAACCAACTGAGCCACCCAGGCGCCCCTCCTGTTCTGTTTTGATAAGCAAAAAACCAAGAACCTGCTGTCTGGTTTGTCCAGAAACCTTGGAATTTTTGTGCATTTCGTTTCTCTCTTGGAATATAAGAAGGTGCCTAGGAGGGCAGCTCAGGTTAAGATGAAAGAGAGCGAGGCAGCTTCATTTGTCGTTTCAAGTGAAACTTGATCAGCGTTCTCTCGGTCTGTTGCTGTGCGGTGTGTCTGAGAGAGGCATTGTGTGCCAAGGAAGAGAGATGATCATGCAGGACTGTAATAAAGGGAGCCGCCTCTGTGCGAAGCCTTTTTTTTTTTTTTTTGACATTTAATAAAAACTGAACACAGGCAGAGGGTTGGAGATTTTTTTTTTTTTATATTACACCTGAGCTTAAAAGAACCAATCTTGTGGAAACTGTATTTAATAAAAGTTTTCACAGGCGAGTCCTTTGTCCTTACGTGCCTTTTCCCCCCAGGCACCATTTGGAACCTAAAGGACATTATTCCATCCAAGAGTCAGGCGGAAATCATAAATGCCATACTGAAGATCTTGTCTGACGTTCTGGACGTGGACGCTGGTGAGACGGTAATTCGAATGCATGAAGCCGAAAAGCAGAGGTTAGAAGCTGCTGCAGAGACGGAGGACGTGCTGGAGAGCACCAGCCGTGGCTCTCTGATGGAAGATGATGAAATGGAAGAGATCCCGCACAAAAGAAAAGTCAGAAGGAAAACCTTCATTTCTGATTTGCTTCCAGTAAGTCAGACTGATGCATGCAAGCCTGGATTCATACAGCCACTTTCTTCTAATAGGTATCCTGAGCTTTGTAGAACCCTGTCACGGTACAGTTATTACAAAGTGCAATTCAGTAACAGTCCGTCATGTTTCCCCATTGGCTCTCATTGCAGCTTTAGAAATCTACTCCCAGAGGGGGAGAAAACATCTCCTGTCTAAAATGAAACTTTTCTATACAGAGGATTTCCAAGAGGGGAGAGACCAGTACTTCTGTAACACTTGAGAAACGTGCAGTCATCTTCCTAACTCCTGTGTCTCCCCTCTTCAGTTACACACTCTCGGCCAGATAGTCTTCATTACTGAAGGAGTTTGTACTTTGCTCCGGTGGTACTTGCATTCTTGTCTCTTTTGTTTTCATATTTATCCTTACCAAAATAGTAGGCTCAGCCCGCATTAATTAGCCCACCATTGCTGAGCAGAGAAGGTTGGGTGCTTGTGAGAACTGGTGGTTGTTCATGTTCACCGACACACTCGTGTTGGAGTAAAGGTGAGCAAGCTCAGGGGCAGGGAGCATTTCAGTGGAGCCAGTCAGCAGAGATGGAGCCATGCTTTGGGACGATGTTTCCCCCCAAAGAAGGTCAACGAGTAGTTGGGAAGGCAGGGAGGACAATGACTTGGCTTTATTCGTTCAGGTGCACATTTTCTGTGCTCCTGGTGTGTGCCAGGCACTGTGCCGAATGCTGATGCTAGAAAGACGATTAGGACATTTTTATTGTCTTCAGGGACCTTTTCTGTCTTGGGAGGACAGACTCATAATTAGGATACATGACGGTGCTCGTGCTGAGAGCGGGGATAGGGCTGCGCACAGAGTTTTGAGGGAGTAGTTTGTAGAGCGAGGCACGCCGCATAGACAGCCTTGATGGGAGAGGAGAGGCTGAGGTTGTCAGAGAAGGCTTTTTGGATAGAACACCTAGCTGTCTTAAAGGATGGGATGGGAGCAGCGTGGTGAAAGCAGGTTAGTGTCGTTAGGGGGCCTGGAGGCTGGGAGATGGGTTAGGCCACTGACGGCATTCTGAAGAAAGATGACGGAGGCTGAACTGCAGGAACCCTAGCCCTGTCCTCGCAGGCTTTCTGCACTTCCAGGTGTGGCCTCTCCTGATCCTGAACTGAAACTAAGAGCTGTCTTCATTCAGAGTCTTAAGAGTTTTGAGAAGTTTATGCCCAATATAAGAGTTCTTTAAATGGAATATACCTGAAAAGAAATATAACAGTATGCTCCTTTCCTGGATTCACAAAGTGTTGTAAAGCATGAATTGGTGGTATTTTAATGAAATCATAATGTTGTCATGAGAACTACTTTCCCAGCCCCCATGGATAGATAGCCCTTAGGTGCACAGCATCCTGTTAAGTCCTGGGGTGAATATAAACATGAGAAGGCTGCCCCACCCTTGAGCTGCTTGCAAGTCATAAAGTTGCGTCAAAATCATAGCACTGCTTTTGGTGTGGGCGGGCACATATTTGAACGCCCAATTTACTGCTTGTTCTATAGTCTGAGTAAAATTTAAAATAAGTAAAACAAGATAGACAAAGGCAGAGCCCTAACAGTATTTTCTCTGCAGTTTGACATTGGAAGGGTGAGTTACAGATCTGGGACAGACGTGCTTCCCCCTCCCCGCCCCAGGAGGGAAAGTCAGGATGTGACTGATCAGGGCTTGGAGGCTCTGCAGCTGTGGTCTTGCATGGACTGGCCCGACCGAAAACACGTGTACCGTGACTGACCACGCCGACTTCCCACCAGCAGGAGCGGGGAGTACAGTTGGGTTGTAAGGGAACTCTGAAGTGTCTGAAATCCCTTGCAGGGAGGGGGAGAGCGGAACACTTGCGTCCTTCCACTGCTCCCCCTGGGACTCCTATAGGGAGAAGGTGGGGACTGAGATCCACATCTACCAAGATTCAGTGCCACCGTGTAAAAAGTACTGAAAATTAACCGTCATTTAGGTATTTACTTTTCTTCGTATTATTTAAAAATAGAACATTGCTGCTCATAAAATGCAGCGTTTTCTCATAAGGAAAGCTTGCTTTTTAAAGTCTCTTAACATAACTGAGTAGACCAGATGATTAACATGATGGTCAGTCAGCCAATGTTTAAGTGCCTGTACGGTGCCTGTATTTGCCTGGAATACAAATGTAATGTCCGACAGCTCTGGTCTTCCCACTGCCTGGTGGCTGGTGCAGGAGGCCTTCGGAATCAACCTTTAATTTGCATAATTTAAAGTAAGAAAGTACAACCACAAATATGTAAAGAGAACCAACCGAAGTTGTCATTTTAACGTATGCAGAAGTAGAGGAGTCCCTTGCCCAGCTTCCACTGTTACCCAGTGATCAAATCATAGTCTGTTTTATTTCATCTATTTCCCCACCTTGCATATTTTGGAGCAAATCTCAGATGTCATAACATTTCTTTTTTTTTTTTAAGGTTTTATTTATTTATTTGAGACAGAATGAGAGAGAGAGCACATGAGAGGGGGAAGGGTCAGAGGGAGAAGCAGGCTCCCCGCCAAGCAGGGAGCCCGACGCGGGACTCGATCCAGGGACTCCAGGATCATGATCTGAGCCGAAGGCAGTCGCTTAACCAACTGAGCCACCCAGGCGCCCAAGATGTCATAACATTTCATCGAGATTGGTTCTTTATGTTCATTTGATGACAATAAGAAGCAGAGAACGGTTCTGATCAGGAGAGTTATAAAGAAGTAGAACTTAATTTCAGGGTTCTTCTGAGCCAGATTTTCATACTTCTCTAGGGGATGAGAGCTCAGCAACATCTCTCATTTAGCTTTGAGTCTCTAATAAACTTTTGTTTACTTGAATATCATACACACACAAAGCAGGTAGGAATAGTTTTTATATATCTTCTTCCCAGCAGTAAAAGGAATACAAATAACATTCCTAAGCTACATCTTTTAAATGAGCACTTTGCTTTTAAAATAATTTTTATCAAAAATAATTATCTTTTGGGGCACCTGGGTGGCTCAGTCGTTAAGCGTCTGCCTTTGGCTCAGGTCATGATCCCAGGGTCCTGGGATCGAGCCCCGCATCGGGCTCCCTGCTCGCCGGGAAGCCTGCTTCTCCCTCTCCCACTCCCCCTGCTTATGTTCCCTCTCTCGCTGTCTCTCTCTGTCAAATAAATAAATAAAATCTTTAAAAAAAAAATTATCTTTTAATAATAATTTTACTATTTTAAATTTATTTTTATTATTATTTTATTGTTATTGTTATAGATTTGATTTTTAAGTAATCCCTACACCCAGTGTGGGCCTTGAACTCACAACCCCGAGATCAAGAGTCGCATGCTCTCCCGACTGAGCCAGCTAGGTGCCCCTGTTTATTTATTTATTTATTTATTTATTTATTTATTTATTTATTATTTTATTGTTAATCCCCATACATTACATCATTAGTTTTAGATGTAGTGTTCCATGATTCATTGTTTGTGCATAACACCCAGTGCTCCATGCAGAACGTGCCCTCCTCAATGCCCATCACCAGGCTAACCCATCCTCCCACCCCCCTCCCCTCTAGAACCCTTATTATTTTTTAATAATAACTTTGAACATGGTTCAAAATTGCAGTCAAATTGTTACACAAGAAGTTGCTGGAGGATTATAAATCAGTATGAACATTCTGGAAAGGAAAATAGGAACATGTCACAGGATCTATAGGTAGTCCTTTGACCCAGTAAATCTAAGGAAATGAGAAATCCAGGTAATTTGAAATATTCCAAATTAAATGATAGTGTATCCATTTAATGGAATATTGTACAGGCATTAAAAGACAATTAGAAGCTTGTTGAAAGGGGGAAACATTCAGATGATAAAATACGCATTATTTTTAGCCTAGGAACTATTCTGGAATATCAACATAGCTATTTCACTTTTCATAGGTAACTTGAGAATTAAGGTTATGTGAATTTCTACAACCCATTTTAAGTTCATGTTAATTATTTCCAGAGAAGGAAGTTCTCCCCTTTCTTCAGTCTTTTTTTTTTTTTTTTTTAATTTATTTATTTGACAGATAGCACAAGTAGGCAGAGTGGCAGGCAGAGGGAGAGGGAGAAGCAGGCTCTCTGCTGAGCAGGGAGCCCGATGCGGGGCTCGATCCCAGGAGCCTGAGATCATGACCTGAGCCGAAGGCCCCTTTCTTCAGTCTTAAAGAAATGCCTTTTATTTTTTTTTTAAGATTTTATTTACTTGTTAGAGATAGTGAGAGAGAGCACAAGCTGGGAGGAGAGGGAGAAGCAGACTCCCTGCTGATCAGGGAGCCCGATGCAGGACCCTGAGATCATGACCTGAGCCAAAGGCCGACACTTACCCTACTGAGCCACCCAGGCACCCCAAAGAAATGCTTTCTTGCAGGGTTCAGAGAAAGCCAGGAAGCCAAGCCTGTCTGCACCTTAGCCAAGCTCTGTTGGTCACATAAGGGCTCGTTAGTAGTTCTTGTTAATGCAGTCTTTTCCAACGAGACGTCTAAGCATCTAAAAGCTGGTTTGTTGTGTATAAGTGGCTGGTCTCTGAAATGAGCTCTTGTGTTAATCTTAGTGTTCTGAGCTACTTCTTAACACACTGGATTAAGTTTCAGGGTGAATTCAGTTCAGAATTCCGGAATATTTATCTTTTCTCTCCAGCTACCTAAAATAACTGTGCAGATAGATGGAAGCCCAGTTAACGCGGCCTGCTGCTCAGTGCCAGGAGCAATCATAATGCTTGTTTGTGCTTCAGCACGTTATGACTTTTCTTCTGGCTGCCCCATCCCCCATGCATTCTATTCCAAGGGTAAAAATCATCCAGTAGGCTCTAGCTAAGGACATTCACGTGAAAATACTTTCCCAAACATTGAGAGTTAGTTGTTTGTTTGTTTATTTATTTATTTATTTATTTTTTAGCCCACTGACAAGGAACTGAGAGAGACCATAGCGTTGTTGACGGCTCAGCAGACTGCTCTGGAAATTGTCGTCAACATGTGCTGCAGTGAAGGTTTGTTACCAGTTTATACGTTTAGACATTCTCCCCCTGGACTGAAAGGGTAGCTTCCATGAGTTTTCTTAAATATTCCACTTACATGTGGTTTGCAATCTTCCCAGATCCCTCTGATGATGAGTGGGAAGAGCTTTCTAGCAGTGATGAGAGCGATGCATTTATGGAGAATTCCTTCAGTGAGTGCGGTGGGCAGCTGCTGTCTCCCCTTTGCCTCTCCCATGAGGTTCACACCGCGTTCACCAACTACCTCATCCCAAAGAAGGTAGTCTGTTTCAAGTCCAGCTTCATTGTGGAGCATGGGAAGGGCTTGAGAGAGCTATTCACCGTGTATGCAAAAGAGGTTTGCTCGCACTTCCAGACTGTGGGTAATTGGTAAGAAAGAAGCTAGAACTAACAGTAGTGGGAGTACGCTGGAAAGTAGATCCTTCCCAAGCCTAACCATTTCACTTAGAGGCAGTAGGTTGGGGCTTGATAAAGGGATTGTGTGTAAAAGGATGCTAGTCGTTAACCTTTGCTTTACTGCCTTTCTTGAATCTAGATTTTTGAGAAAACTGCCTTTCCAAACAGCACTGCAGTTGACATATGTTTTAGGAGTCCCACTTGGAAATCTTTGGTCAGAAAGTAAGAACTTTTCTGTTTTCAAAACTCTTTGTCATTGTTATTACATGAAAGGATGGACCACTAACTAGAAGAAGCTGACTTCCCCCAGATTCAAGAGTTCTGTTCCTGTGCATATTTTCTAGGAAAATGTGTGCATATGTGCACTAAGCCATGAGAACGTGAATAGCAATGTGGTTCTAGTTGCCCCAACCAGGAAGCAACCTCAGTGTCCATCGGTGGCAGAGTCGAGAAATAAATTTTGACATAATCACACAGTAGAATATATACAGCAGTTAAAAAAAAAAAATCTGAGCTAGAACATTGAGCAAGAAAGCAAAGCACAAAAGAATATACACTGATTCTGTTTTTACAAAGTTCAGTAACTGGCAACGCTTAACTATTTTGTTTTAGGATACATAGGTAGTTAATAGGATACATAGGTAGGTAGTAGAGCAGGGAACTGTTTACCATAAAAGTCCAGATAGTGGTGACTTTTAGGGGTCGGAAAGGTGGGGCAAGATAGGGAAGGGATAGATGCGCTGTGAGGGTGTTAGCCGTGTTTCTTATCTTGGGGCACGGTGTTCGCTTTATAAACTATGAAACTCTGTATGTGCGTTGAACACTTTATGTATAATGTCCTATTTCACAGTTCAGAATTGTTTTGCCAATGTCGCCATGCATAAAAATTCTTCTAAATAAATTCCTTATGACTCATAAGTGAGCTGTGCCTCAGGCCCTGAGTGCTCAAGCATTTTGATGAGGTAGATAATCAGGTCACCTTAAGATTCTTTGTTAATAGCCATACATCTTCTGCGTTCAGATATCCCCAGTCAGAGCCTGAAGCTTAGGTTAAAAGTGAATACTGAATTCTGTTGGGTAACTGTTAGAGAAACACACCGCATTCTTTGCCTTCCTATCCAGAATGAACACTATTCAGTGCAGAGCCCTCGTGTGTCTCCAGAGTCTTGTATCCCTCCTGGATGTGGACCATCTCGGGGGACCTGCAGCCCTGCAGACACTTGCACAACATCTGTCCCAGCTGCTTTTTGCTCAGCCAGGTAAACATTTAGGCCTCATTGTGAAAGACTATTTGGATCGAGCAGAGTTTTGAAGGGTGAGGAACTTGGACTTTGGCATTGTGTCGTGCTTGTCATCCAGCCTGCAGAAACCTTTCCCAAGCACTAAGAGTCAGATTTATAGTTGCCAGTGGCATTGAGTCCAAACAACATACGTAAGCTGGTCTGTGGGTTATACTGTTATTTTTTATTAAAACTGCATCCAGTTATGTCAGGCCAATAAGGCTGAATCACAACTATCATAAGTATTAGGCCCCATGAAGATATTTGCTTAATTCTCTAGTCTTTATTTTTCTTCTTAAACATAAAACCATTTGATTTACATTTGATTGGCTAATCCGTACATGTATTACAGAATTCACAAGTTATTAGAGGGTGTAAAGTGGAAAGCCTCTCTCCTCTTCCTCATACCATCCAGTTCCTCTCCCTGAGTCAGTCGCTGTTACGGTTTCTTGTGTGTTCTTCCAGAGAGATTCTCAGTATAAAAAGTATGCATGTGTGTTCTTAAGGCAGATGGTAGACTACCAGACATAGAGTATTGTACCCTGCTTTTTTCTAACATTTCTTTCTTCAAGCACCTTTGCATGGTAAGAGATGTTACTAAGGTCTCTAATATGGATTAATTTCATTTGTACACAGAAACTTAGATAGTATATGTAGTTAACTATTCTTTCTAAATGGCCTAGCTGTACAAGGGTTATTGCGTGCTCCTCTACCAGGTTTTCATAGTTTGTGGTAGTAGAATCTCATTTGACTTAGCCACATCGAATTATAGCAGCTCAAACCAAATGAAAGAGACTGAGAGGGAGGGAAAAATAGTATTTTATGTAGTAAAGGAAAATTCTCCACATTACCTACCCAGCATGCATGTCTGCAGTGAGGGTAATTGAGAGATAAGAATCTGCTGCTCTCAGCTCCTCAATTTCAGAGTGTCTTCAGGGAGTTTTTGAAGGTAAGCTTGAAGATATGTAATACTTGCTTTCTGCACTAACTTTAAAATTTCATCACCAAATAAGCTATAACTCCACTGTGTAACATTCAGCGTAGTATTCATATATCTCATTGTAAACTATTTAACTTTTCTTCTTCTAAGACGCCACATTAAGTCAAGAGTTGTAACTCTTAGGGGACACATGACTGGCTCAGACGGAGAGGCACATGACTCTTGATCTCAGGGTCCTGAGTTTGAGCCCCATGTTGGAGGTAGAGATTACTTACATAAATAAAACTTAAAAAAAGAGTTGAAACTCTTAAAAGATCAAAATATGGTCGCTTTTGACTAAATACAAGCTTCTATACAAATATTCATTCAGGAGTTGTTCCCCTGTTCTTTTTTTTTTCCTTAAGTGTTTTTTTTTGTTTTTAAGTAATCGCTACACCCAGTGTGGGCCTCGAGCTCAATGACCCTGAGATCAAGGGTCGCACGCTGTAACGACTGAGCCAGCCAGGTGCCCCACTCCCCAGTTCTTCTAGACATCTTTTTTTTTTTTTCTTAAGATTTTATTTATTTATTTGACAGAGACCGCGAGAGAGGGAGCACAAGCAGGGGGAGTGGGAGAGGGAGAAGCAGGCTTCCTGCAGAACAGGGAGCCTGATGGAGGGCTCAATCCCAGGACCCTAGGATCATGACCTGAGCCGAAGGCAGGCGCTTAATGACTGAGCCACCCAGGCGCCCTATTTTTTTTTAAGAGTTTATTTGAGAGAGAGAGAGAGAGAGAGCAAGCAGGGGGGAGGGGCAGACGGAGACGGAGAAGCAGGCTCCCTGCTGAGCAGGGAGCCCAACATGAGGCTCCATCCCAGGACCCTGGGATCATGACCTGAGCTGAAGGCAGACACTTAACTGACTGAGCCACCCAGGCATCCCTATTTTGCACTCTTACCAAGTTAATACAAGGTACTGTGCACTTAATAGTGCATGTTTCAGAAGTTCTAGGTCAGTTTTTAAAAATGAAGTAAATGTTCAGAAACCCATATATAGTTATTGTTCTGTCTCTGCCAACCTTCCAGCATTTGTCCGTCAGCAGATACAGTTTTCCAGTGATCTCAGACTGTGCATTCTTTAGCTGGTGTGATCATGTGAAAACCGTGCCCAGCCACACCTAAGACAGGATATAGACAAGACTGGGCAAGCTCTGGCTACAGAGGTGGCTTGTTGCTGTGAGCCGGTCCGATAACTATAGCTTTATGTATTTGTCTCCCAGCTTTATAAACTAGGCAGAGATCTGGATGGCATGGGGGGGATGGGGCGGTTACTGGAGAGGGGATGTTTTATCTGACTTTTGCTAACATTCTGGCTCCCACCAACCCAGCCGAATGTCCATGGTGGAGGAGGGGGAGGGCTGCTATTGCTCAGGCCCACTCCCTCCACCCCTTCACGTGGGCTCCCGGTAGGTTGCTGGGCCAAACGGGGTTGTGCACAGCCAGGCCCCTAGGTGAGCAGGCCTAGCCTATCACTGTTTCCAGGACGTGCCTACCCTGAGGGAATCCTGTCTGCCTCAGTGGCAGAACAAATCGCCATTTTTCGGTGGGAGTCCCAGGCAAGGTACCAGAAGCTCCCATCTCCAACCAGCATAGAGTTTGTTGCACTTGCAGGAAAGCGCACACGTTCTGTGCCTCTGCTGTACAGAAAACACGTGGGTGTGTTCCTCCCGGTTCAGCTGGCTCTTCGTGGTCACTGATGCTTGCACATTTATCACCTGGATGATCACAGGAAAATGATACCACGCTCGGCCTTGGAGAAATAATGGAAAGTTTCTCAATTGTGGGAACATATAATTAAACACTTTACGTAAATTCCAAGTTCATGGGTATTGTTGAGAGAACCTTTTCTTATCAGAATGAAATTTTCGATAAAGGAGAATTGCTTATATTTAGAGATGGTATTCTAAAATTCCTTTGGCACATTGAGATTTATTAAATAACGTAATCTTGTGGGGTCTATGTGGATAGTGTGAACTGTTACTGGAGAACTTTCTGGGGAGGATGGGGCCAAATTTTTCTAGCTTTTTGTGTTACCATGTTTGAACGTTAAATGTATGAGGATCGTACAACTCTGCCTAACTTGCTTTACTTTTAATGCTAATGTATTTTAATGCTAAAATTAAAAAGTATAAATTAAATTAAATAAATTAAATAAATTAAAAGTATAAATAAATCTCTTTCTGAATAGTTATAAAATTTGAGATACATTTTGTTTGTGGCTGCCATCAGAGATAAAAGGAGAAAGTTGTTAGTAGATTCTGGTCCTTGCATTCTCAGTACATTAATATCTTTGTCTCCTTCATTAAAAACTATGGATCTTCAAACCATCAAGAAAATTTTAGCAATGTTGTGTTTTCAGATTGGGTCAGTCTATCATTTGCTCCATTGCATGGGTTCTATAATCACTTAGGGTTCCCTGTTTTCCCACATTTGGGAAAGCAGAAAGCTGTTTTTTCACTATAATTAGGATGATAGTAGCACCCATTCTGGAATATGTTTCCTATTCTATATCAGAACATTGGAATCAGTCTGAAAAAGTCACCTAAATAAAAATTTGCTGCTTGGCTACTTGTGGGTTGACTGTTTACCTACATTTAGGTGTGCTACAGATTCTTACATGCTGTACAAAGTTGTTGAGGGGAAAAATGTTTTCAGTCACCTCTTTTGTTTAACTTCTGTTGACATTTACTTAATTTCTTTAACAGTACCACATGTGTTGACCTTTTAGTGAGAATTTGTCAGAAAGGCAGGGTAGATTGAAGCTTCTTTCCCAAGTTTGGATAAATGACCAGAAATGTGAACTCAATAAAAATCACCCGAATGTTTTCCTTAATTTAGGGAGAGTATGAATTACACATAATGTAAAACAGTAACGTGATTTAGATTAGGGTTTTGAATCTAAGGTAATGGTTATTTTTCTAAGAATGCAAGACCAAAAAAATGCTTCTGAGTGTGTTCTATTTCGTATTGAATGATTTCTTCATGATATAGTTCCATTGTTTTATGTGCACTTCATGAATTTCTAGGGCTATACTTCATAGCTGTAATCAAATATAAATATAAATATAACCTACTTTTTGAATTTTAGTAGTAACAACTTCACACCAATTTTTGAGTACTTTTGGGTACTAGGCTTTATGAGTGAGGCATTATTACTCCAGCTTCCTGGTAAGGAAGCTGGCATTTAAAGAGGTTGAGGAACTCCTTCAGGGGCACTCATTCCTCTCGCCCATATTTTTTTTTTAAGATTTTATTTATTTATTTGACAGAGAACACATGCATGGGGAATGGAAGGCAGAGGGAGAGAAGGAAGCAGGCTCTCCGCTGAGCAGGGAGTCCGATGCAGGCCTCGATCCAGGACCCTGGTATTGTGACCTGAGCCGAAGGCAGATGCTTGACACTTAACCAACTGAGACACCCAGGCACCCCTAGCCCATACTTATTGACCACTCTATGCCATACACCACTCTAGGTCCAAGGGATACAGGTGCGAATGAGATAGGCAAGACCGGAATGCTCAGGAGCTTACAATCTCAGATGAATAAAGATGTAAATGTAATTTCGTCTAGGAAGAAAAAAATAAAAGAATTGGTTGACATGGTGGCTGGTTCCAAGGGCCTGTTAGATGGGTTCATGTGGAAAGGGCTGTCTGAAGAGGTGACATTTGACCAGAGGCCAGAAGGAGAGGTCACATAATGTCAGAGGCAGGATTCCATCCCAGGTCTGTCTGATCCTAAAGCTATCCTAGTATCCGTTCTGTGAAATTTACAGGAATTCCCTACTTCAGTACATAATGTATATCTGGTCCTGAGAGGCAAAAAATATAATAAGCTTTGATTTAGATTTGTGTGGAAGCTGCCTCATTCTCATGCAGGCAGCCCCAAAAGGGGCGTTGGAATCTTCATAAGGCCCCAGGCACCAAGGGGGCAGAAAGCCAAGGCTTAAAACAACAATAATCATGTGTTTTCTCATGGTTTCTATAGGTCAGGAATTTAGTGCATAGTGGAGATGGTTTGTCTCTACTCCACAATGTTTAGGCCAGGGGTTCTCAACTAGGGGCAACCCCCCCTCCGACACTGCAACCCCCCCCCCCCCCGGGGCCATTTAGAAATGTCTAGAGGCATTTTTTGTTGTTAAAACTTCGGGGTTGCTGCTGTTACCTAGAGGATGGAAGCCAGGGATGCTGCTAAATATCCTATAGTGTACAGGGGATCCCAAAGAATTACCTGTCCAAAATGCCCATAGTGGTAGGGTTGAGAAAACTCTACCCTAGGGCTTCTGCTGGAAAACAAGGAGCCAGAATCATCTGAAGTCTTGTTCATGTTGATGGTTGGCTCACAGGGGCTGTCAGCCAGAACAAGATGACCTTGCCATGTGACCTAGGGCAAGAGTTGAGAGAAGAGAGCAAACACATGTGAGTTAGGTGCGAATCATGTTGCCTTTCATGACTTAGCATGTCATGTTCATGTGTCCTGTTGGTTGATGTCACAAAGTACCCCCAGATTCAAGGGGTGGGGAAATAGACTGTTGTGGTTATTTTTGGACAATATAATCTACCACGGCAAGTCCATTGCTTTCCCTTCCCACCAAAGGGGTAAGAAAGAAAAGAGTAAAAATGAGCAGGAATGGGAAGGGGAAGTTGGGTCAGTAAATACAACCGTAGAAGCCACTGAAACCACGGAGGTATAGTGGCCCAGCCCTGCGCAAGCAACAGTTCTTGGCTAGGCAGTGGGTTTGGGTTGGCCAGGAAGAACTCTGATTTGGGAGACATTGCCATGTGAGGTCTGCCCAGCACCGTGATGGCAATCTGTGAAAAGCTGAATTCTGTCTACGCAAGCTAGCTCAGGTGTATCATGTGCTAAAGAGCGAGGTAAAGGGCGCCTGGGTGGCTCAGTCGTTAAGCGTCTGCCTTCAGCTCAGGTCATGATCTCAGGGTCCTGGGATCGAGCCCTGTTTCGGGCTCCCTGCTCAGCGGGAAGCCTGCTTCTCCCTCTCCCACTCCCCTGCCTGTGTTCCTGCTCTCGCTATCTCTCTCTCTGTCAAATAAATAAATAAAATCTTAAAAAGAAAAAAAAGCGAGGTAAATGAAAATCCAGTGCCTAGAAGGCAAGGACTGTCTGCAGAACGCTCCCTTGTTACAGTTATTTCAATTGTGGACATCTTTTCAAAGTCAAGTATTCAGTTCACAGGAGACTGTTAACCAGAAGTCTTGGCTTAACATCAAAAATGTTTTAATTATGGGCGCCTGGGTGGCTCAGTCGGTTAAGCGACTGCCTTCGGCTCAGGTCATGATCCCGGGGTCCTGGGATCGAGTCCCCCGTCGGGCTCCCTGCTCTGCAGGGAGCCTGCTTCTCCCTCTCCCACTCCCCCTGCTTGTGTTCCCTCTCTCGCTGTGTCTCTCTGTCAAATAAATAATAAAAATAAAATCTTTAAAAAAAATGTTTTAATTATAATAGCATATATTAACATTTAACATTGCGGTGTTTTTTTTTTTTTTTTTTTTACAAAATAACTTGTCTTAGAGAAAGACAAATTTATATTTCACTTTTGTGTTTTAGATTTTGCTAAGCATGTTGACTTTCTAGAAGCCATAAGTAGTGCCTTGAGGGCCCTTTTGCAAACAATGGCCTCCAAGAACATTTCTCAGGTAAGATTTTTAAAAAATTTTATATGAAACCCGCAAAGATTCCGTATTATGGAAGCAAAATTCATTACTTAACTGTTTTTTTTTTTAAGTATTTATTTCTATTATAAGAGTAATGTATGATCCTTGTAAAAAGAAAGCAAAAATGCTTAAAATAAAAAATAAAATATTTTGCTTCTTCCCACCATTGCCACTAACACACAGATTTTTTTATCTTGACATACCTGTCATAAATATTTTCTCTGAATGTCACTTGTCTTCTTCAGTAACATTTTACAGAAATTATCAAGCATGCCCACTGACCCTCCACAGTGATCCATCGGCATCTCTGTGATAGGTACTTTCCCACTTGTATTCTTTACTTTTTATTAAGGAAATTTTCAGACGTCTCTAAAAGCACAGATGATAGTATCATGAACCACAAGGGTCACAGAGTTGGCAACATCCTGGCATTCTTGTTCTCTTCATCTCCCTTACACTTTTGTTTTTGTTTCCTGGACTGCTTTAAAGCAAATCATGTTCCTTCACTCATAAGTATTTTATTACATGCTTCATTATGTGTCTGTGACAGAAAATGGACTTCTAAAAAACTTAACTACAGTACCATTACTCCCAAATTAACAGACATTGCTTAATTATCATTTGATATACAGCCTAAGCTCAGTTTTTTCTGATTGCCACAAAAATGTCTTTTTCAGTTGTTTTATTCAAATCAGAATCCAAATGCTTTTGGTTGATACTTTGGTTTAAAAAAAATTTTTTTTTAAAGATTTTATTTATTTATTTATTAGAGAGTGAGCGAGAGAGAAACAGCATGAGAGGGGAGAGGGTCAGAGGGAGAAGCAGGCTCCCCGCTGAGCCGGGAGCCTGATGTGGGATTCCATCCCAGGACCCCGGGATCATGACCTGAGCTGAAGGCAGACGCTTAACCAACTGAGCCACCCAGGCGCCCAAAAAAATTTTTTAACGGCTTTAGTGAGATTTAATTCACATACCAACCATACAATTCACCCATTTAAAGTGCACAATTCAGGGGCGCCTGGGTGGCTCAGTTGGTTAAGCTTCTGCCTTCTGCTTAGGTTGCGATCCCAGGGTCCTGGGATCGAGTCCCGCATCAGGCTCCCTGACCAGTGGGGAGTCTGCTTCTCCCTCTGCCCCTCACCCCGCTTGTGCTCTTTCTCACTCTCTCTCTCTCAAATAAATAAAATCTTTAAAAAAAAAATAAAGTGCACAACTCAGTGGTTTTTAGTATATTCACAGATTCTTAAATCTCTTAATTTAAAATATTCCCCCCACCAACCTCCCTTTCCCTGTATTATTTATTCATTGAAGAAGCTGTCATTTGTCCTGTAGAAGTTTTCCCATTATGAGATTTGGCTAGCTTCTCACGATGGTATTGTTGACATGTCCCTGTCTTGTCCATATATCCTATAAACTGGGAACAGGATCAGATTTTTTGGCAAGAATAATTCACAGTGCTGTATATATTTTTTACTTTTATATCACAAATTATATATTTTCATAAATTAGTGATGTTAAGATTAATCAGTGGATTCAGGGCACCTGGGTGGCTCAGTCGGTAAAGCGGCTGCCTTCGGCTCAGGTCATGATCTCGGGGTCCTGGGATTGGGTCCCTCATCAGGCTCTGTGTTCAGGAGGGAGTCTGCTTCTCCCTCTTCCTCTGCCCCTCCCCTGACTCATGTGTTCTCTCCCTCTCTCAAGTAAATAAATAAAATCTTTTTTTATTTTTTAAAAGGTTTTATTTATTTATTTGACAGAGAGAGACACAGTGAGAGAGGGAACACAAGCAGGGGGAGTGGGAGAAGCAGGCTTCCCACGGAGCAGGGAGCCTGATGTGGGGCTCGATCCCAGGACCCTGTGATCATGACCTGAGACGAAGGCAGATGCTTAACAACTGAGCCACCTAGGCGCCCCTAAAATCTTTTTTTAAAAAAAAGTATTAATCAGTGGATTCACCATTTTATCAGTGGTGCAAAATGGAGACATCTTAATTTTGTCATTTCTTTTACGTTTATTAGCTGTGATTCTTCTCTAAGTAAGAACTTTCTGTCTCATCAGTTATTTGGTAACTTTGAAATAAAGTTCATACCAAAAAGATAGGATTTTTCCAGAATAATAAATTAGTGCCCTTAACAATCTCTAAAAGTGATCAGTGAGGTTTTTTTTTTTTCCAGTGAGGTTTTTTTAAAATATCATTATGAACTTGTGGGGTTATTTTGTTTGTTTTGTTTTTAAGATTGATTGATTTGAGAGAGAGAGCACAAGTGGGAGGGGGAGAGGGAGAGAGAATCCCAAGCAGATTCCCCACTGAGCACAGAGCCCGACTTGGGGCTCGATCTCACAACCCCTCTAAGACTGTATAGGCAAATTGCTGTGTTTTAAAGTTACTTGACAAAGTTCTCTTTGTGACTTGTTATAAAGTTAGCTTCAGTTGTTTTAGCTTTCATTTTTTTTTTAGCTTTCCTTTTTTTTAAGAAACTTATTTTTTTTGCTTTAATTTCTATTTTTTAATTATATAAAATATTTACACAGTTTCAGAGTTAAAATTGAAACAAGATATATTCAGGGAACTATATGGTAGATACATACAATGGAATATTATTCAGCTTTAAAAAGGAAATTCTAATACATACTACAACATGGATGAATTCTTGAAGACATGACATTAAGTGAAATAAACCGAGCACAAAAGGAGACATACAGTATGATTCCATATACAAGGGACCTAGAATAGTTAAATTCATAAGGACAGAATGTGGAACAGTGGCTGCCAGGAGTTGGGGGAAGGGAGGAGTAGGGACGTACTGTTGAATGGGACAGTTTCAGTATGGGATGATGAAGAACCTCTGGACATGGATGGTGGTGATGGCTGGTGGTACAACAGTCTGAAGGTACTTACTGCCACTGAACTGGACGCTTAAAAATGTTTTCAGCTGCAGGCAAGAGATCGTGGCTAAGAATGGCTTAATAATAAAGGTATTTCAGGGGCACCTGGGTGGCTCAGTCAGTTAGGCATCTGCCTTCGGCTCAGGTCATGATCCCGGGCTCCTGGGCTCTCTGCTCAGTGGGGAGTCTGCTCCTCCCCCTGCCCACACACCCCCACATCCCCACCCTGGCTCATGTTTGCTTTCTCTCTCTCTCAAATAAATAAATCTCTTTTAAAAAGGTTAAAATGAGGGGCGCCTGGGTGGCTCAGTCGGTTAAGCGACTGCCTTCGGCTCAGGTCATGATCCCAGGGTCCAGGGATCGAGCCCCGCATCGGACTCAGCAGGAAGCCTGCTTCTCCCTCTCCACTCCCCCTGCTTATGTTCCCTCTCTCGCTGTATCTCTCTCTGTCAAATAAATAAAAATCTTTAAAAAAAAAGGTTAAAATGGCAAGTTTTACCAAAAACAATTTTATTTATTTATTTATATTTAGTCTAGCTTCTGTCCCTTTGCCCCTCTTCTTTCGGGTAACCGTCCTTTTTTGTGTTTTGATTTATCATTCCATTGTTCTTATTTTGAAAACATAAGCAAATACGTAGGCATGTGTATTTCACCCCTTTTGTTAAAAGTAGTGCTTCTGCACCTTGCTTTCTTTTTCTCCCTTATTAATCATTGTAGTATACAGGTATCTTCCTCATTTCTTTTTTACAGCTTCACATTCTATTACTCCATCGTGTAGGTGTTCCTTATTCATTCAGCCCTGTTGATGGGTGTTCTCATTTCCAGTCCTTTGCTATTAAAATAGAACTGCAGTGAACAGCCTTTTTACAGATGCTTTTTGTGTTTTTGCCATTGTGTCTTCGAGAGAGTGAGTCCTAGAAGTGGGCTTGCTGAGTTGGAGAATAGATGGGATTGGTGATTTTTGCTAATTGCTGTGGTCCCCTCCTTAGAATTTGAGGCATTTTGAATTTCCTACAGCATTGCTTGAGAGTGCCATGTTTTGCTATAGCTTCAGAAGCAGAGTTGTCAAAATGTTAGATTTTTACCAGTTTGATAGTTGAGACATATCTCAATTTTAATTTGCATTTGTCTTACAATATGAGATTGGATGTCTGTCTCTTTATGTGCTTTAAGGGCCTTTGCATTTTTTTTTCTGTAACGGTTCTTTTGCCAGTTTTGCTATTGGGTTGGTGGTCTTTTTCTTTGTATATAAGAGCAAATCCTAGGGCCTTGCCCCCAATCCACTGAGGCAGAAACTTTGAGGAGGGGCCCAGTGATCTATATTTTAACAAGTTCTCTGGGTGATGGGCATGCACACCAAGTTGAGGGACCCGTGTGCTAAACCATCCTTGCTCCTTCCTTTCTAAAATCTTCCAGTTTTGATTAACATGTCATTAGACCGTACCACCCACTTCTCTTGGTTATAGCCATCTACCATGCCCTGGGGCACTCTTTGTTCCTTGAAGATTCCTGCTGTTGGGCATTATTACTCTTCACCAGTCCTGTCATGATTCTAGGTGACTTCAAGATCCACATAGATGCTCCCCCCAGTCCCTTGGCTTTGAAGTTCTTGGACCTCCCTTTCTCCAACGGTCTGGTCTTCCTTCTCTACCTTAGTCATTCCGTGGCCACACCCTGGAGCAGTGCTTCCCAAACTTTATCTTGTCCACAGTTTAACGAGAATGCCTCTGGTACTTTACTATCAAATATAGTATGTACTGTTGGCGTCTAGTCTATACTCTTTCGATTTTTTTTCTTTGTATATTTGAGAATTTTTTTCAAGAACGTAACTTTTGACCCTCAGTTTCTTTGACATGGGAATGGTAATAATGATGGGAGGATTAGAAAACCCTATACCGTAGGGCCTATGGGAATATAAAGTATTTTTATTGATTTTTCCATGATCTTCAGCAGTGGCTAACTGGATCAGCCTGACGTTTAAAGAGAATTATTCCCAGCTCATGCTCAGTTAATGTCTGGGCATTCATATATATTAAGACCATGAATTCTCAGGTTGGCTGTGTATTGGGCATGAGCATGGAATTTGAGGATTAGAAGGACCCTAGCTTTCTCATACTTTACAAGGAGAGGGAACCAGGGACCAGAGATGCTGAGTAACAGCACCAACAGTGGAGTGCAGCTGTCCTGCTCCCCTGTCCAGTTCTCTGCCTTGTCGGTGTGTGCACCTTGGGCAGCTTGCATTTGTGACTCATACTGGTAGTAAAGCAGCATGCCTCCAGCATTCCTGGCAGCCTTGTTCTGGCTGGGAGGAATGCCAGGGTTGGTGGGATTGTTTCCATTAGAGTATTTCCTAAGAAACCTGCACATATTAGCTGTTACCTTTCGATTGGCAGAAGCACTGCAGATGATCCGGAAATGAGTTTGATTTAGAACTGTTCAGTATTTCTATATGTAATAATATCTAATATTTACTAAGTTCTTGATATGCATTATTTAATCCTTTAGCAACTCTGCATGGTGACCGTTGTCCCTGTATCACTGATGGGGAAATGGAGAGACCTTTGTCAGGGGGGTGTCTTACGCAGGATTGCTGAGGGGTAAGGAGAGGAGCCAGGGTGTGAACCCAGGATGTCAGATCCCAAGCCCTTCGTCACCACACTGTGATAGCCTGGCAACACGATATTCGAATTCTCTGGTGATACCTGCACCCATGTGTGTGTTCAGATTAGTTTAGAATGAAAATTATCACTACGCAGCAGAAGCACTCTATAATTTAATGGTTTCTACAAGCTCTAATAATTTACTGTAACAGCATGACATCTGAGGGTGAGTTCTTAACTTGTACAGATTCAGCCAATTTTTATTAAAGCCACATATTCTTTGTACATTTTCAAAACATTTTATGATCAGTGTTAAAAAGAAATTAGGATCTCTTTAGTTTGTGTACATCTGACTGAAAGTTGTCTTTTTCTTTTTTAAGATCTTATTTGAGAGAGAGAGCACAAGTGGGGTGGGAGAGGAGGCAGAGAGAGAGGGAGAAGCAGACTCCCCACTGAGCAAGGAACCCAACGTGGGGCTCGATCCCAGGACCCCGGGATCGTGACCTGACCTGAAGGCAGACGCTTAGCTGACTGAGCTGCCCACGTACCTCCCAAAAGTCTTCTTTAAATGAAACTAATAGGAAACGAAGCCCCTCTTCTAGGCTTAACAGCTATGGTAGAGTGAGTAATGACAGTGACATGAACAGGCCTCATCTTCATTCAGGATTACCAGCTATACTGAGGAGTGATTAGAGTATATAATAACTTCTCTGTCGTTGACATTTCTGTCAGTCCTGTTGTGCATGCTCTTGGAATTGGTTGAGTTTAACACTATAAATACTCTTTTTCCTTTTCAACAGTGTATGACTCCCAACCAGCTGATGACACTATGCACAGCCGGCATTCATAGTAGTAATACTGGGGTTAGAGTAAATGTTGTTAGTATTTTAGGAATCACGGGCAGCGTCCTTGCCAAAGAAGATGGAACACTGGAAACTCTTAAGGTAAAACTATATGCTTCCAATGTAAAACATTAAATCATTAGAAACAGGGGGAAGAGTAACTGTTGGTGTGGGATTTTTAAAAACTTCTATGGACATCAGAAGAAGAAATTCTATCGAGAAGTTGCTTACTAAGGTACATTATTAAAATATGCCCTTTGGCTTGATCTGACTATAGGAATTAGGTGGGTACTTGAAAAATTGAGTTGCATTTTGCCACTTTATTCCTGAGGTACCTTTTCAGATATAAATTTGTCTTTAGTGAAAGGCCAAGTTCAGAATTGTCCCAGGTACCTCTGCGTTTGCTGTTGCATAAACTGTGTGCATATTCTCTGCTCCTACTGATGAAGGATCAGCTCACCAGTTGTCTTAGTACACCAGGCTAAAGTGCATTCTGAACAACACTGCACAGTCCGCTCTACTATCACTCTGTAAATTTTAAGCAGCAAACGCCCTAGGAACTCACTCAGCATATTTACTTCCAGCACTTTATCTCAGCACAGTTGCTCAGGAACTACACTGCTGGAGACCCAGCATCACTAGTAACTAAAAGGACCGTGGTAGTAAAATTACCCTTCATTGTGCTAATAATAATGGCTGAAATATTGATTACTAATTAATGGGTAATAAACCGACTATTGGACTTGCTGAGAACTTTACAACAATGACTTTTTTTTTTTTAAGATTATATTTATTTATTTGAGAGAGAATGAGGGAGAAAGAACATATGAGAGGGGATAGGGTCAGAGGGCGAAGCAGACTCCCTGCCGAGCAGGGAGCCCGATGCGGGACTCGATCCAGGGACTCCAGGATCATGACCTGAGCCGAAGGCAGTCACTTAACCAACTGAGCCACCCAGGCGCCCTTTTTTTTTTTTTTTTAAAGTAGGCTCCATGCCCAGTGTGGAGCCCGACATGGGGCTTGAACTCACGACCCTGAGGTTAAGACTAGAACCGAGATCAAGAGTTGAACACTTGGGGCACCTGGGTGGCTCAGTCCGTTAAGCAGCCAACTCTTGATTTCAGCTCAGGTCGTGATCTCAGGATGATGAGATCGAGCCCTGTTGGGCTCAGCGAAGAGTCTGCTTCTCTCTCCCTGTCTCTTTCTACCCCTCCCCTGTTGTGTCTCTCTAAAAAAAAAAAAAAAAAAAGAATTGGATGCTTAGCCAGACTGGGCCACCCAGGGGCCCCAATGATTGATGTTTTTTAAGAACCTTATTTTAGGGGTGCCTGGGTGGCTCAGTCATTAAGTGTCTGCCTTCGGCTCGGGTCATGGTCCCAGGGTCCTGGGATCGAGCCCCACATCGGGCTCCCTGCCCGGCGGGAAGCCTGCTTCTCCCTCTCCCACTCCCACTGCTTGTGTTCCCCGTCTCCTGTCTCTCTCTCCATCAAAAAAAAAAAAAAAAAAAAATCTTAAGAACCTTATTTTAAAAAGATGATACCTGCATGTAACAAAACATTCACAAAAGTAGACAAGAATATATAATGAAAGACTCATCTCCATTGCTAGCTTTCCAGCCCCCCACTTTGACTCTAGAGAGACAGCCACTGTGACTCCTTTCTTCTCTATTACTCTAGGAATTTTTGATAAGAAAAGACACATAAGTGAGAGAGAATATCGCCGTGTTGCTGTCTGTGTACACATATACAGATGAGCATGTGCATGTTAAATCCCTTCCTGCCCCTTAAGACTATAATTTCCAAGATCCACTTAGGAGCCGCAAGTTTTTCTCGGGCATAGCATGTGATTTTTAAAATGTTTTTTTGTTGGGGCGCCTGGGTGGCTCAGTTGGTTGAGCGACTGCCTTCGGCTCAGGTCATGATCCTGGAGTCCCGGGATCGAGTCCCGCATCGGGCTCCCTGCTCGGCAGGGAGCCTGCTTCTGCCTCTGACCCTCCCCCCTCTCATGTGCTCTCTCTCTCTTTCATTCTCTCTGTCTCAAATAAATAAATAAAATCTTAAAAAAAAAAAAAATCAAATGGCTATTTCCATGGAGAACCGACCTTTTAAAAAAAAAAAAAAAAAAAATGTTTTTTTGTTTTGTTTTTTGTAAAGATTTTATTTATTCATTTGAGAGAGAGACAGAAAGAGAGCAGAAGCAGGTTGAGAGGCAGAGGGAGAGGGAGAAGCAGACTCCCCACCGAGCGGGGAGCCCAACGTGGAGCTCAGTCTCAGGACCCTAGGATCATAACCTGAGCTGAAGGCAGACGCTTAACCGACTGAGCCACCCAGGTGCCCCTAAAATGTTTTTATTTAGTCACATTTCCAAGCAAAGTAGAAAGTACAATGAATTTTGTATACTAGTTAAGCATATTTAACAATCATTAATATTCTATCATATGCACTTCACACAGTTTCTTTGCTGGGTATGTTAAAGTATGTTAAAGTTAAAGCTCAGTATTAAAGACAGCATAGTATTTTGCCCTGTTGATTCAGTATGCATGTCTTAAAAATAGGGACAGTTTTGGGGTACCTAGGCAGCTCAGTCGGTTAAGTGTCAAGATTCTTAATTTTGGCTCAGGTCATGGTCTCAGGGTCCTGCGATTGAGCCCCTTGTCAGTCTCCCTGCTCAGTGGGGAGTCTACTTCTTGCTCTCCCTCTGCCCCTCTCCCCCCACTCTGTTTCTCAAATAAATAAATAAATCTTTAAAAAAAAAACAAGGACAGTTTCTTACATAACCACTATTATCACCCTTATACAATCAATCATCATTGTTAATGTCTTTTTTTTTTAATTTTAATTTTTAATTTTTTAAAAAAGATTTATTTGTGAGAGAGCGAGAGAGAACGCAAGCACTCAAGCAGGGGGAACAGCAGGCAGAGGGAGAAGCAGACTCCCCACTGAGCAGGGAGCCCGATGCAGAACTCGATCCCAGGACCCTGGGATCGTGACCTGAGCTGAAGGCAGACGCTCAACTGACTGAGCCAGCCAGGCACCCCATTTTTTTTTTTTTTTAAAGATTTTATTTATTTATTTGAGAGAGAGCACAAGCTGTGGGTTGGGGGGAGGGGAGGACTGGGTGGAGAGGAGCAGAGGGAGAGAGAGAAGCAGACTCCCCACTGAGCAGGGACCCTGACACAGGGCCCCATCCCAGGACCCTGGGATCAAGACCTGAGCCAAAGGCAGACGCTTAACTGGCTGAGCCACCCAGGTGCCCCCTCATTGTTTAATATGTCTTCTGCATGGCCCATCCTCAAGTGTTTCCAGTTGTTCCAAAAACATCTATTTACAGATCGTTTGTTTAAACGAGCATCTAAGTCAAGTCTACATGTTATGTTTGGTTTTGGATCGTCTAAGCTTTTCTCAATCTAGAAACTTCTCTCCCTAGCACTACCTCCCACCACCTGTTTTTTTTTTCCCTCCCTCCCTCCCTCCCTCCCTCCCTCCCTCCCTGCCTGCCTACCTGCCTGCCTCCCTGCCTTCCTGCCTTCCTGCCTGCCTTCCTGCCTGCCTGCCTTCCTTCCTTCCTTCCTTCCTAGCTCTATGCCCAGCATGGGGCTTGAACTCATGACTCTGAGATCAGGAATCACGTGCTCCACCGACTGAGCCAGCTGGGCACCTCTGCTACCAACTGTTTTTTCCTCAACTCCTGGGGGTGGTTGTCTCACAGTATCCAACCCTCTGGATTTGTCTGATTGCTTCCTTGTGGTGTTAAGCTTGTTCCTTTATCCTCTGTATTTTCTGCAAACTGGAGGTTAGATCTAAAGGCTGGATCAGATTCAGATTCAGGTTAATTTTTTTAATAAGACTAGTTCATAGGTGACAGTATGTGCTTCGTATTTTATTATAAGTTATTAACTCTAAATACTATCCTAGATGTTATCTAGAGTACTTAAATTCAGATAAGAAAATAGAGGTCCAGAGCGGGTAATGGACTTTCTAAGGGTCAGCCTGTTATTTATGTCACAGCTGGAGTTTGGACTCGCTGTTCTTAGCATTTCCACTCTCCCACCGATAATACCAGATGTGCACATCACCCTTAAGACATAAAGGGTGGAGCAGGACAGCCAAAACAAAGTAAGTTCACTCTTGAACAGTTCCTCACAGATTGGGAATGGCCTGTTCATTAGCTAGCTAATCATCACAGGGTGGATGGGTGTTAAAGATCATCACAGGGAATCAGAAAGAGATTAAGTGCTCTTTGTTTTTTTAATTGTCCTAGAGTGTTTTTCATATAATTTTATTTTTTCATATAATTTTAAAAGCATATTTTTTTTGTTGCAGATATACATCTGTATTTTGACACCACAGGGAAAGCCTTTTGAGGGAGATAGAGGGGAAATTTTAATTTCCAAAACCAATCTTTCATATATCATTTATGAATTTTAATTGATTTTATTTAGGAATATAAACTCTAATATAATTAATTTATCTTGTTGATATTATACTTGGTGTATTTATAAATATATGTGAAGTCTTTAATCTTTAGTTCTTTCAAAGTTTTTTTTTTTTTTTTTTTTTTAAGATTTCATTTATTTATTTGACAGAGAGACACAGCAAGAGAAAGAGCACGAGCAGGGGGAGTGGGAAAAGGAGAAGCAGGCTTCCCGCTAAGCAGGGAGCCCGATGCGGGGCTCAGTCCCAGGACCCTGGGATCACGACCTGAGCCGAAGGCAGACGTTTAACGACTGAGCCACCCAGGCGCCCCTAGTTCTTTCAGAGTTTTAATTTGTCTCTGGCATTTCTAAATTTTAAAATACCATGTGTGAATTGTTGCCACATTTAAAGTTAGTACTTATTTTGGAAACTGATGTTAGACTATTGGACATAACAGTGTGCCTTGTTGTCTCCAGACCATTGGGTGCTTTCTGCTTGAAGTTGCCACCAAAGATCCCTCCCTTGTGGTGGCAGGAGAAGCCTTGGATGCTCTCTTCGATGTTTTTGCAGATGGTAAAGAAGCTGAAAGGGCCTCAGTTCAGATTAAATTGTTACCTGCTCTGAAGGAATTCCAGCCAGTCTTCAAAATGAAGGTATGTAGCTGTTTTGTGCGTAAATGCTTAGGTCTCACCATCCTCCGAGAAGGGGGGCCTGTAGTTTCTTCCATGCAATCTCTGTGATTCATAGAGCGCTTCATCCCCAGAACTGAAGAATGCTTGTTGGCTGAGTCAGAGCTAAGGCCTTTCTGTTGAATCACTGTGACTTGGGCCAGAATGGTGTGGGCACGGTCCCCTTTCTAGAAGAGTTCAGTAATGCTCACAGTGCTTGTGGAGAAGCACCGCAGTCTGTGGCCTACAAAGCACTTTCGTATACGTTGTGAATTTATTTTATGTCGTTACAGCTAATACATTACAGCTTGATTTCAGTGTTATGAATATTTCCCTTTGGTGCTCTGAAAAAAAGGGCAAACTCCAGGCTGGTCTCTGTCGGAGAATGTAGCTCCCTTCATTTACCCTTTTATTTATTTTTTTGTTTCACCAGAATCATCAAAGCTAACTTTGAGTCAAAAAGTAATTTTCAGTAACTTGGTGGCCAGGGGAAGGCACCAGGAATTTTAGAAACAGCCTTGAATCCTATGTCTATAAGTTTACCATTCTCCAATTATCTAAATCTCTATTTCTAGGGGCGCCCAGCTGGCTCAGTCAGTGGAGAATATGACTCTTGATCTCCGGGTCATGAGTTTAAGCCCCATGTTGGGCATAGAGTTTACTTAAAAAACAAACCAACAAACAAAATTTCCATTTCTAAATTATGTCATTTTGAGAAATAAAAATGTTTGTATTTTTTGCTTTTAGATTTCAAATTAAACATTTGTTTTTAAATCTTTGCCAAGAAAATAGAGGTTTGGATGAAAACTTAGCTTACTTCTGTTGTTTTCCAATATGTATATTTTGTTTTTGTTTTTGTTTTATTTGAGAGAGAGAGAGAGAGCGGGGGGAGGAGCAGAGGGAGAGGGACAAGCCGACTCTGCTGAGTGCGGAGCTGGACACGGGCCTCAATCTCAAAACCCTGAGCTGAAACCAAGAGTTGGAAGCTTAGCTGACTGAGCCACCCAGGCGCCCCCAATATGTATTTCTTTTATCTAACAAGCTTCTAATGCAGAATTGATTTCTCAAGGAGAGAACTCTGTGATAATTTTTTAGGAGAATATGATTGTATGTCTAGTAACTTAAATTTTCTGAAGTTTTTTTTAAGGACGAAATAATTTTCTTTAGAAAACTAGCAACACAAACCATAAACATTCCATGTCGTAGTTACATCTAAAGTCAGTGTTGGTTTAAGGACATCAGTATTGGTTTGTTTTTAATGTTTTCATGTTTGGGCGTCTTATATTTAAAAAATGTAATCATAGTGGCTAATCTTTATTGAGTTAAGATTCACCAATAGGTAACTTAAGTCTAGGGTAAACAATTGAACAGTTTACCCTTAATTACGCTTTGTTCAAGCCTGTAGGTTTTTTTTTTTTTTGCTTTTTTTTTTTAATTGAGATACAGTTGACATATTACATTATATTAGTTTTAGTGGTTCATAGTGATTTGATACATGTACCTATTGGGAAATAATTACTACAGTAAGTTTAGTTAAATCCATTACCACACAGAGTTGGAAATTTTTTTTCTTGTGATGAGAACTTTTAAGCTCTACACTCGTAGTAATTTCCAAATATACAATCAGAGTCACCATGCTGAACATTACATTCCCATGACCTATTTAGCTTATAACTGGAAGTTTGTGCCTTTTGACTCTCTGTTCATCCATGTTTGTCTGTTCTTTAAGAAGTGAGAGGTTTTATTCCCTTTATTTTCTGTCTCCTTGGTAACCAAATTGAGTGACGTTTCTCCACGTAAAGACAGACGTGCATTAGTATTTCCCCCCTTTGTTATCCAAAAGGTAGCCTAATATATTCACAATCCTGTACTTAGTGTGTTTTCTCTTAACACTATCTCCTAGAGATATTTCCATACCAGTACGTGGTGGGTATCCACAGTGTTCTTAAAGGGTGCAGGCAGGCCCTTGGAACATCTGAAAAAGGAGTCTGCACGGTAAGGAGAAAATATGCCCTATTTCTCTGCAGCTGCAGGGAAAGCAGATATAGTTGAGAATTCAGCCTGCAGAAGCAAGTGTTCGGAGAGGAGTTATGTAAACTATGAACCAGCAAAACAACCCCTAACCACTGGGAGGGCTGTTCTGATTGATTTGCCTACTTACTATGCATTGCTATGGTAATGATGTTTCACTAAGTGTTTTTCTTTTCTCAAAGGTCTAAAGCCCTAATGAAATTTCTTTGTTAGCCAGAATGGCAGCTTGTAGTTTTTCGTATGTTCTTCTGTGAATGAAGCCACAATTGCATTAGAGACTGTCAGGTATATTTTTAGCCCCAAGTTGTATTTCAATATGATACAATGCATTTTACTGAAGAACTTCTCCAGGGCACTGGCTCTCAGGAATGCCCTGTGATCAGCAGCATCAGGATCACCTGGTAACTTGTTACAAATGCAAATGCCCAGGCCCAACTCCAGACCTACTGAAAATCAGAAATGGTGGGTGGGCCCTGTTTTTTAACAAGCTTTCCAGAGATGATACTGTTGCTAAAATCTGAGAACTGCTGCTCTAGACTAGAGGTGAAGTCTAGTTCACATAGCGTAAAACTTACTGTTTTAAAGTCTACAATTCAGCCGTTCTTGGAACGATCATTTTTAAAAGGTGCATAATCTTAATTTATCTTTAGGGCTCACACTCTGTATTCTTTTACCTTGGAAAGCGAAAATCTTTCACCAAATTCTGGCAGCTCTTTGTTCTGAAAAGAATACGCCCCAAATCAAATGCTTTCTTATCTAAAGGAATTAGTAATGTATACCAAATCACGTATGATTTTTTGGCAGATACGAAAAGAAGGGAGAGGTAAATACAGTCCAGATCAGCTGTGTGTTCTCGACAATGTGAAGATGAATTTGAGAAGGTTTGTCGCTTATCAAGAAACTGTTGAGAAAAGACTGACTACTTGAACCATTGAGAGAGACCAGTTCTCGCCCCAAGTGTTCAATGCTAAAGAGTACTAAAGTATTTCCTTGGAGTGTATGTGTTTCTAAAAGTCATTTTTTAAATCCCCGTATCCTGTACATTCATTTGAAGTTTATAAAAACTTCAAAACCTCTCAGAAACTCTTTTAAGCCGTGGGATCTCTGTGGCATTTCTAGTATTCTCTAAATTATGTTTCCAGCATGTTTTAATCACTGGAAACATGAAGAGTGGAAGAGTAGAAACAGAAAGGAATCTCAGGTGGTTCTTCGTGAGCAGCAAAGAACCTCCCAAACAATCATGTTTTCCTTGAATTTTGCAGGAAAGGAAAATCCAAAGCATTGCTTGGATGCTCTTTTAAGCAAGTATCATTTTATACGTGCTGCCAAAGCTAGCAAGCATCATTTTATATTAGCTAAATCTCTAAACTGAAATATGAAAACAAGCTTTATTAAAGTTTTTTGGTATGAAGTATACCAATTACATTTCCCCTTTGTGCAGAAGTGAATGAGTTGAGTTTGTATTCCACTATTTAGTAGAATATTCTGAGGAATTCGTGAGGTCATTGTCAGCCTCCGTACAAACGGAGCTGATCACTTACTGCTTTGTAACAGCACTCCATGTTTAATTTGATGTGGAATCAGAATTAGAAGGAAATATTTTTTAATAAATAACTTTTTAATTGCAAGCTTTGTGTCTTACAAAGTCTTTTTAAAAATCCCAGATAGCCCTGTTCTGGGTTTTTCACTTGGTAACGGATATAGCTTTGACTATATGGGAGATACTAAAAACAAGACTGACAGCAAGAATCTCCAGCATTACTCTCAATGTCCTTGCATTAATAGGGTGACAGCTGGAGCGAGGGGTGGGGGAGTTTCAGTACCTCATTGTCTGAGAGGCGGGTGGGAGGGGGGCGTGGGGAGCCTGGACCAGCTCCATTGTCCATGCATTTGCTTGATCGGAAGAGTTGTCAATGAAGATTTTCAAATCTTCCCACAGTTGATCCCAGTTGTCCTGTTAAATGGCCCAATACCCAGACCTTTCTCGTCTAGTTAACATCCATCACCTCACACAGTTAAGTGTTTTTTTTCTTGTGATGAGAACTTTCAAGATTGACTCTCTTAAGTAACTTTCAAATATACAATACAGTATTGCTGTCTTCACCATGCTGTATATTACATCTCTTACTTCTTATAACTGAAAGTTTGTGTCTTTCGTCTCCTTTCCCCCATATTGCCTTCTCCCCCACCCACCCCCGACATGCACCTCAGGCAACCACCAGTATGTTCTTTGTGTCTATGAGCTTGGTTTTTTTGTTGTTGTTGTTGATTCCCTGTATATGTGAGATCATACACAATTTGATTTTCTCTAACTTACTTCACTTAGCATAATGTCCTCAAGGTCTGTACATATTGTCGCAAATAGCAGGATTTCCTTCTGTCTCTTTGTTGCTGAATAGTGTTCCATTGTGTGTGTGTGTACAGACACTGTTTACTCTTTATTCATCCATTGATGGGCACTTAGGTGGTTTCTGTGTCTTGGCTGTCATAAATGCTGCGATGAACATGAGGGGTGCAGGTATATTTTTGAGGTAGTGTTTTAGTTTCCTTTGGATATATACGCAGAAGCAGAATTGCTGGGTCATGTGGTAGTTCTATTTTTAATTTTTGAGGAATGTCCATATTGTTTTCATCACTGGCTGCACCAACTTACATTCCCACCAACAGTGCTGAAGGGTTTTCTTTTCTCCACATCCTCGCCAACACTTGTTATCTCTTGTCTTTTTGATAATAGTGTTTCTTGCTAGGTGCGAAGTGGTATCCCGTTGTGGTTTTGAGAGAAGGATTCTTCCAATGAAGAAAAGTTTCAGAGTTCTCCCTGCTTCAGATTTTTAGAGAATAGAATTGTTTTCAAGAAGAATAAAATTTCCGGTTTTAGCACAGGGCTAGTAGGCTCTTGATACAATATTTGTTGAATGAATAAATGTTAGCGAGTTTCTGTTTCATTAAGCAGCCTCTAAAGCAGTTGTTGAATTCAGAATCGTCCTATAGAATAGTAGAAGGTGAATTCTTACATTGAAAATGTGCCATCCAGGGGCGCCTGGGTGGCTCAGTTAGTTAAACATCCAACTCTTGATTTTGACTTAGGTTGTGATCTCAAGAGTTGTGGGATCAGGCCCTGCATCGTGATCGTGATCTGCACTGGGATGGAGCCTGCTTAAGATTCTCTTTCTCCCTCTACCTCTGCCCCTCCCCCTGCCTACTCCCTTAAAAAAAAAAAAGAAGAAGAAGAAAATATGCTATCCAGAAATCCAGAAATTTTAGACTTTGAGGCATTGATAGTTTGGCTTATATTGCTACATTTAATTTTGCTATTCAAACAACAGGGAAAGATAGGAAAAGATTAAATATACTTTATGACTCTGTTTACATAATAGCTCAGTAGATCACGCGAATATTATTCATGGCACGTATAATAGAACCTTTTTTTCCTGTAAGAATGTAGGGAAAAAATCTTTAAAATGTATTTATTTGGGGGCACCTGGGTGGCTCAGTCGGTTAAGCATCTGCCTTCAGCTCAGGTCCTGATCCCAGGGTCTTGGGATCGAGCCCCGCATTGGGCTCTCTGCTCTATTTTAAGTGTTGAAGTATGAACTCATGTGAGATCCTTTGTTTTAGGAGGTATTTTTAAGTATTCAACCTACCATGGCATATTTGCCCAAGGAAATAAAAATCACTGCTTTACTTCTCATTTTTTAAACTTTTTTGGGGGGGAGGGGACTACTCATTTTATTTTAAGATAGAATTGACTTTTTTTTTTTTAAAGATTTTATTTATTTATTTGACAGAGAGAGATACAGTGAGAGAGGGAACACAAGCAGGGGGAGTGGGAGAGGGAAAAGCAGGCTTCCTGCAGAGCAGGGAGCCCGATGCGGGGCTCGATCCCAGGACCCCTGGATCATGACCTGAGCTGAAGGCAGACGCTTAACGACTGAGCCACCCAGGCGCCCCATGATATAATTGATTTTGAAATATCAGTCATTTAATTACATTTCCTTATTTGCAATTTTATCTTTTGCTTTTATTTAGCCTTTCAAAGAAATACCTTTGAGTTGTCAAGATAGGGAAGGGTCCTTATCTCTTCAGCAGTCCTGTTCACTCAGTTCTGTTGTAGGCTTGCTTCCTGCCTTTTTAAAATTGCATGGACCAGTATTTGATTGTATTTAACCAATATGTAGGACATGAGCAGTTTTAGAACTCACTTCACAATATCCAGAAATTCTTTCTTTTCAGCAACAATAGTAAAATTGCTCTATAGTATTTTAAATATCCACTTTTGGCAGAAGACTCCCTTTCTCTGCCATTTTATTTTTATAAAATATGGATTTCTCGTACCTATCTAATCCATACAATCTGTCTCCTCCGAAAGAATGTCTGTCATCATCTCTTACAGCTTCGAAATAAGTCTTCTAAGTAGACTATGATACCAATAGTGTCTGTTACCAAAGAAAGTCTTGGTTTTTTGGATGATTCTGCCAAAGGACTTAGAATGGTGTGGAACCAAACACATGTCAAGGGTCAGTTTGCATATTTGTGGTGGCATCAAGAGGCCTGTGGCCAAATGGTGTCTTCATTTTGGGGGCAGCTTCTTCTTAGACCATTCCTGTGGCTGCCCTGGGTCCCTGGTGCCCTTTGTCTGCCATTTCCTGTCCACTTGCAGAACCTGATCCTCCTCCCCTCTCTTCAATTTTGTGACCCTCCCTAGAATTTTATAATAAACTTTATTTTTTGATAGCCATGATGAGTTTTTGCTGGTTATAGCTGAAAAATCCCTGATTAATACTATATCTTTCTAGAAGTTTTTCTGGACTTACCCATCTAAACATATATGAATACACTGTATCTATAATGGGAACATCATGTTCTATAACTTGGATTTTTTTCTTTAACAGTAATTTATGGATATATTGTTATGTCAGAATCATGGTTAGGTCTTAACGGTAGATGTTTCTTCTTATAAAATGAAAAAGTACTTCATTTCTACTGGATATTCTGTTTGATCTTAGTTTGATAGGTTGAGGTAAAGTTTGCTTTTCTCAGCTGGTTCCATTTTTTTTTTTTTTTAAGATTTATTTATTTATTTTAGAGAGAGCAAGAGAAAGTGCTTGAGTGGGGGGAAGGGCAAAAGGAAAGGGGGAGAGAGAGTCTCCAGCAGACTCCCCACTGAGCGTGGAACCTGATGTGGGGCTCCATCTCACAACCCTGAGATGACCTGAGCCCGAAACCAAGAGTCAGACGCTTAACCGGCTGAGCCACCCAGGCGCCCCTACAGCATTTTTAAATGTTCTTTGGAGTCTTCCAGTGGTTTGGAGAATAGAATCTTCTCATTTGTTGAACCTAATCCCAAACTTGTATAAAAAATAGACCCATAGAAGCTATAGGATGAGCACCAAAGTTTTTTAAAAATCCAGTACTTGTTTTACAGTAGTAATTCTTACCCTTTTCAGGTCATTAATTTTACTGAGAATCATAGACTCCTCAACTAAATGCACCGCATTTGTTATCTTTTGTGTAACAAATTACCCCAAAACTGGTAGTTTAAAATAACAAAATTTATTTTCTCTCAGTTTCTTTGGGTCAGGAATTGAGGAGCAGCTTAACTGGGTGGTTCTTCCTCAGGGTCTTACAAGGTTGCAGTAAAGATGTTGGCCACGGTTGCAGTCAACTGAAGTCTTGACTGGGGCTGGAAGACTTCTTCCAAGGTGGCTCGTTCACATGGCTGTTGGCAGGAGGCCTCTGTTCCTCACTGTGCGTGTCATCATGACATAGCACCTGGCTGCCCCCAGAGTCAGTATCCGAGAGAGAGAGAGGAGAAAGCTAGTTTCAGAAGTGACGCACCATCAGTTCTGCCACATTTTATTTGTTGTAAGTCACTGAGTCCAGTGCACACTCAGATGGAGGAAGATTAAGTTCCACTTCTTGAAGGGTGGGGTATCAAATAATTGGTGGACATATATACATATATGTATATAATTTTTTTTTTTTTTTTTTTTTTTGAGATTTTAAATAGTCTCTACACCCAATGTGGGGCTTGAACTTAGAATTCCAAGATCAAGAGTTGCATGCTCCGGGCGCCTGGGTGGTTCAGTCGGTTAAGCGTCTGCCTTTAGCTTGGGTCATGATCCCAGAGTCCCAGGATCGAGCCCCGTGTCAGGCTCCCTGCTCAGTGGGGAGCCTGCTTCTCCCTCTGCCCCTCACCCCACTAGTGCGCTCTCTCTCTCTCAAATAAATAAAATATTTATTTATTTTTTATTTTTTATTTATTTATTTTTTTAAAGATTTTATTTATTTGACAGTGAGAGATACAGCGAGAGAGGGAACACAAGCAGGGGGAGTGGGAGAAGCAGGCTTCCCGCCGAGCAGGGAGCCCGCTGCGGGGCTCGATCCCAGGACCCTGGGACCATGACCTGAGCCCAAGGCAGTTGCTTAACCAACTGAGCCACCCAGGCGCCCCCCATGTTATTTTTTCTTCACAATGGAGTGGAAGTAGTCTTTTTGAAACATGAACTTACTCAAGTTTCTTCCTTGCTTTTATGCTCAATCACTTCAATGGTTCCCATTACCCACAAGCTATAAAGTTTAAAATCCTCACCATATCCTGCAAGTAGCATGACCCCTGGGCTAGGTT